TATGGAAAATAGCGCATTTTCAATAGGTAAATCAACGCACTATAAATAGTAATGTTTTCAATAGCTAGATGTGAGATTTGATCATGATGTACTGTTTTGATGAGCTTTTCATAATTAGTTTTTTCTTTTTTTTTTTTTTCTGAGATTGGATGAGATTTAATGCAATGCGAGTTGAATTGATTGGTAATTGGTTGATCATTGATGAGTGTCATTATTATTATTGTTTATTGATAATATTGTTATGTTGATGATAGATGATTGATGATAGATGATAGATGATTGATGATGGATAACCGATGATTCATGAAGACGTTGACGATAGATGAACGGTGGTGATTCTGGTCATGATGATGAAGAAGAAGAAGAGGAGGAGGAGGACATTATGCGAACATGATTAAACAACATCAGATCTCAACATGGTACATAATTACTCAATAAACGTATCGGTTTAGAATATATATTTACTTCTACATACGCATATATGAGATAACTCGATCATGAGGATACATTGATATTGGTGAATTATGTATATACATATACATGTACGGGATTGTACAACACACACAGAGATATATATCTATCTATATTATATATGTAATATTATGTACATATATATATATGTATATATATATGTATATATATATATATGTATACATATATATATATGTATGTACTTCCCAATCGGCCACCATGAATAGCCAGCACATTTAGGGGTGAAGTTAGTGAGCTCAAGTGATTCCGAGCCCAAAACCTGTTGTCGGTTGATAGTTGCATGGGGTTGTAGTGACTGTTCGAACAAGGATCACTTTCACCACTAGGGAAACGACGTGAAACGTTGGAATAGAATGAAGCCAGCGGATTTTTTTCACAGTGATATCAGTGATATTCCTTTTTCTGTGATTTTGTTGATTATAAATCCCTATTATACTCCATATATAATCATCTATAATCATATAATTCCCACAATTTGTATACCTGATTATAAATCCCTATTATAATCTATGATATTATTCTATGATCCCTATTTGTTTTTATGTCTACACATCTCATGTGATCCCAACGTCGCTGCCAACCTTTCCTCTCGCCAAAGCGCCAAAGGAAGTGCAGCAGATTCGAGGTTCCAGACAGGCGCTGCGCGGCACTGCCGAGAAATTTTGGACATTTGAGCAGTGACTACGTTCAGATCACCATAAAACACCACCTACCATTGAATCCCATGAAATCACAATGAAATCTTCATAAAACATCATGAAATCACCATAAATTTCACCAAAAACTCCACCAAAACTCCACCAAGAAAACCTCATGGAAAACTGGAAGATCTGCGGCTAGGCCTTTGCGGCGATCGTGGCCTCGGGTCGAGTGGTCACCTGGGGCCATCCCAACTCCGGGGGCCACAGCAGCTTGGTTACCTGAGAAGTCGCCATGGGATTTCGCCTCTGGTTATTGGAACTTTAATGGGATTTCATGGGATCTAAAATGGTGGTTTAATGGGATCTAATATGATGTAGCCTCTGGTTATGACTACCGGTTATGACATGACATTCACAGTTTGCCATGGAAAATCCAGCCATTTTATAGCTAGCTGAACCCAGGTAAACCATCTATTTCGATTAGGGCCATGGCGAAAAAACCATGGCGAACTGTGAATGTCATAACCAGAGGGTTTCTGGGGGATTTCTGGGGGATTTCTGGATGATTTCTGGATGAGTTCTATGGGAGTTATATTGGGATTTATAGCAGGATTTCCTGATGATTTCTGATGATGATTTCTGTGGATTTGGACTGACTTCCATGTTTTTTGTTTTTTTTTTGGGGGGTTTGAGGTGGGTGGATTTTCTGGATGAATTTTTTGGGGGTTGAATGGGATTGAGATGTTAGAGGGGATTTGGATGGATTTTTGGGGGCTTCCAGCGGCTTTATCTCGCCAAAATATGGAGACCCATGGGGTTTGTATCATTGATATCTAGACGAAGTGTGGGGATGCATCATGATATATTATGAGCCATCCCAGGCATCCAGATTCATGACGGAATGAAGATTCCACAGATTTCCCCTTGGAAACGATCGAAAGAAATGGTGGGCAAACTCCGCATCTGACTGTATTACAGGAGGCCCAGATCTGTGATGCTCATTGACCCATAGATCTGTGAAGGCTTGGCAAAGGCGCCAGAAGTAGTCCCTCCCCTATGACTATAGCGTGACATACGGTACTTTTTTCGGGACCCATCATGAATGGACCCAAGACATTTGCATGACCGTCACTGAGTTTCGCACGAGAGGATTCAAACATTTCAGGATGGTTGGACATGTCGCTAAATTTTAAACATATGTTCACAATCCCCCAAAAATTCTGGATAGCAGCAAAATCCAGCAAAATACCTTTATATAGATACCATTAGATACCGTATGAGTTTTTTTTTGGATTGGATCTTGATATTATATCATATTATATCTACAATAGCTCTATAGGTCTATATAGCTCTATATAGCTCTATATAGCTCTATATAGCTCTATATAGCTGTATAATAAGAGTCTATCCATTGCAAAATCACCATTCGGGGCATCTCTTGGGACGCGGGACGCGGCAATGCCTGGGTTGGAACGGTGTTACCCCCAGCAGAAGATTGTTTTTTGTGGAAAGCCACGGACTTTCAGATCTACATCTATCAATCATCTATGAATCATCTATCTGTATCTCCGTATCTCTCTATCTCTGTATCTTCGTATCTCTCTATCTCTGTATCTTCGTATCTATCTATTTGTCTATCTGTCCTGTCTGGCTGTTTGTCCGTTTGTCTATTATGTGGATATATCTATACATCTATATCTCTGTATATCTATATAACATATGTATGTATACCGGATGGTACCTTGTCTCCTGTGGCTCCTTTTGAAAGCCAACCTCACCGCCATTTATCACCTCTTAGGTGACTGGGTGGATTTTAATTTGCACGACGTCCACTCCTTCGTTCAGCCCTGGGAATGCTGCTGACGAAGCCCAGGAATCTCGGGAACCCCAGGAACTCTGGGTGGACTGGACTGCCGCTTAGTAGGACTTAGGACTGGAGTGATTTCACACTGCAATGGCGAAAAAGGGGCCCCTGAGAGTTCCAAGATTTCTCGGTGACCCCAATGAAGTTCCAGCTTTGTCAATGTTTGTCATACTTTATCCACACAGTTAGTTAATTAGTTACAAAATGTTCGGTGGAAGGGGCCCATGTTTCATTGCAGGACTAGTTCGGGCAGCCTCTGACCAAAATATGGACCCAATGGAACCTGCTTTGACGATAGGAAGTTGCGTGCGACATCTTTAGGATAAAGCATAAAAGCCAAATCATGTAGAAAACAAGCCAGCAGAGTTGCCTTTCATTTTAGGGTAGCGCACGGTGACCTGCCTGGTCCTTGCCGCGTTTCCGAAACTTCGCCAGCGCTGTGCGTTCCGAAAGACGTCGAACTCAAGACTTCGTCAGAGGGACCTTGGTATCATCAGTTTGATGGGTTTTCCCAGTGAACTAAACCTCCATGGCTAGTTTTTCCATGTTTTTCCCATATGTTTCCTGTATTTTCCGATGATTTTCTCATTTTTTGGGGGGGAATCCAGCCAGCCATGGCTATTGAAAATGGCACATAGAAATAGTGGATTTACCCATTGATAGCATGGTGATTTTCCATAGTTTTTTGTATGTTTACCAGAGGGTATCCTTTTCCAATCCATATTCTACAAGCTGAAGAATGAGATGGCTGCATTTCTCGCAAGACATGAATTGCAGGGTGCCAGATCGGTCCTTTGCTTTATGATAGAAAATCCATGGCTTGCAAAAGGAAACTATCTGTGTAGAAATCTGGTTGGTGGTGACTGGAACATGTTTTATGACTTTCCATTCAGTTGGGAATGTCATCATCCCATTTGACGAACTCATATTTTCAGAGGGGTAGGTATACCAACCACCAACCAGAAATTGTTCATGAATTTTCTATATCTATTTTACCTATGTTGGGCTGGGGTCTGGAGGCTAACAATTTTGAAAGAAAGAATGCCCTGAAGAGAAGGATGCGCATCCCTGGTTTTTTGAGTAAGTGGTTAGGACTGGCCTGCATGACTGGTTGAAGAAGCATGATCATTGACTGAGCATTTCTTCGACTTGAGATAATAATCCCTGTTAACCGATACTAAACTTGGTAGATTTGGAATAGCATTACCCTCTGGTAATTTAACGTAGCTATTGAAAATGACCATTTATAGTGGATTTTCCCATTAAAAATGGTGATTTTCCATAGTTTTTTGTATGTTTACCAGGCCGGGTAGTTCCAAAAACTCGCGAAATTCACGACTGGTAGAAGCGTTAAACCGTTACGTTTCGATGGAAAAATTCCCATGGATTTCCCATGAATTCCCATCAGAGGGGTAGGTTTCTCCCAACCACCAACCAGCCATGATAACGTATCCCATGATATACCCGGCCTGGTAAACATACAAAAAACGAACTGGAAAATCACAATTTTTAATGGAACAATCAACTATTTCGACTGGACCATTTTCAATAGCAAACTGTGAATGTTTACCAGAGGGTAGCCACTAAAGCCACTATTTCACTGGATTCATGGGCTGAATTTCACACAGCCATTGGGCCATGGAAGCCATGGCCGAGTTTGATGCCATGAACGCCATGAACTAATGGGTGATTTTTCATGGCAAACTGTTGAAGTACCAAAGGTGTTTTACAACATGTTCCCAGTGTTGTTGGTTTTTGTATGAGTTATAATAGTTATATACATCATGTCAAATCCCCATGAATTGCGATAAAATCATTTTGATTTCCCATTAGTCCCCCATGAAATCCCTATAAATCGCCATGAACCCCCGCTTCATCACCATTAAGTCACCATGAAATCATAATGAAATTCCCATGAACGCCCCATTCATGTTCCATTTCTGCGGCTGTTTAATTGTCACGTGCCGGTTCACCCGACCCCCGCGTCTTGCGTCGCCGGCCAGAAGTCGCCAGCCATTACAGCCACTCGGTTAGGACCCACCGACACTTGGTGACTTGATGCTTCACCCAACTGCTTAGTACAGTAACCTCAGGGGATTTATTCACCGCTAAGTGGGATACCCTCTGGTAATTTAACATAGCGAACTGGAAAGATCCACCATGCTATCTAGCTGGGAAAATCCACTATTTCTATGGTCATTTTCTATGTCGCAAAGTGTTAGTCATTACCAGAGGCTAGTGGGATCCGCTACCAAAGTTTCGGTTAGTCATTGCTTTGTTGCAGTGACATCTAGTGGACCTTGAGACAGGTCACTGAGATGGTTAGGAGGTGGGGTTGGTGTTTTTTCCGCATGATACCTATGGAAAAAAAAACAAACAAATGGCTGGTGGTTTGGAACTTTTTTTATGACTTTCCATTCAGTTGGGAATGTCATCATCCCATTTGACGAGCTCATATTTTTCAGATGGGTGGCTCAACCACCAGCCAGATCTTACATCCGTAACTGCAGATTTTTGGACCTGGTGCAGAGATCTTTCATGTGTAGCAACCCCCAGAAAGATAGAAATGTAAGAATCCCACTCAAACACTGATAAATCATGATAAATTCATCATAAATCACGCATCTTTTCTCTATTTTTTTGGAGATTCTACAGACACCTCCAGATTTTTTTTGCGTATCAGACAGAGATAACTTCACATCGCCCGTGAATCTAAGCTGCAGAAGAAGAACTAGGTATCACCCAGATACAATGTTGCTGGTTTATATGTATATCTCATGAAATTCAATGATGACCCCCATGACTACTGCTTTCATAGGATAATTTCCTGATTTTTGATCATTTTGCATTGATCTTCCAGAGTGCAGTTTGAAAGGTGACGTGTTGCAACATGCCAACGTCCATGGCATTTCGTGACGTTTCCCTCCAACCACGACACCAGACCATGACTAGCAGTCCTGGCATAACAATGACAACATAACAAACATATATGACAAAAATGGTAATAATTGGTAATAATCTTTCTCCTCATCATCCTCATCATCCTCATCATACTGATCCTCATCATCCTCATCATACTCATCCTCATCATCCTCATCATACTGATCCTCATCATCCTCATCATACTCATCCTCATCATCCTCATCATCCTCATCATCCTCATCATACTCATCCTCATCATCCTCATCATCCTCATCATCCTCATCATCCTCATCATCCTCATCATCCTCATCATCCTCATCATCCTCATCATCCTCATCGTGATCAACATCACTAGTATCATAAAACTATCATGACCTTGTTTGAGCTTCTTTCACTACCTGTTTTTCGGGTGCATATTGATCCATCGATTTAGCCATGGAACAGTGTTTCAGATTTCCCCAACAAAATACCAAGACTGCCGAAGCAAATTAATATCTTTATAGAGAATTCTACATATTACCCTCTGGTAATTTAACATAGCTATGGCAAATCACCATTTTTAATGGGAAAATCCACTATAAATGGCCATTTTCAATAGCTATGTTAGTTTACCAGAGGGTAGCACAGGCTGTTTTCAACGATGTTTTCCCCGTTTTTTCATGGGTTTTTCATCGTTTTTTTGTACCAGACCAGGGCTTCCCGGGCTTCCCTGATTTCATCCGGCGAAACGTGACGATGCCGCGAAAAAAGGTGGACGTGACGATGCATCCGATACACCATGGCGTTCAGACGGAGTTCACGTGACCCGACAGAACGGCGGAGAATGGAAGAAGATTTGTGGAGCAAAAATGGAAAGCCAATCATTAGTTACAGTATTAGTTACATATTAGTTATCTGGTTGGTGGTTTGGGTCACATGACTTTTATTTTCCATTTCATATATGGGATGTCATCCTTCCCATTGACTAATATTTCTCAGAGTGGTTAAAGCCACCGAGCAGGTTAATATAATTTATATAGCTAATATAATATATATATATACAATATATATATTATATATATATATTTATTTATACTGGTTGGTGGTTTGGAAACCCAAAGTTTGAGATTCTGTCTGGTTGGTGGTATTCCACAACCATCATAATTGAAAGGTATAATGGAACATAATTGGACATATGTTTCCGGTTGGTGGTTTATGTGGTTTGGAATATTTGGAGTATATTTTCCCATAATATATTGGGAATTTCATCCCAACTGACTTCCATATTTTTCAGAGGGGTTGAAACCACCAACCAGCAAAGTTTGAGATTTTGAGTCAAATCATGTCAAATCCAGATGATAATGATAATGGCTAGATCAAGTGGAAAAAGTGGCGAAGGACTGCGGTCCCCTAGGGGTGACTCTCAATTCGATTGGAAAATCAATAGGAACCCCCTTGATACTCTCTGGTAAACTAACATAGCTATTGAAAATGGCCATTTATAGTGGATTTTCCCATTCAAAATGGTGATTTTCCATAGCTATGTTAAATTACCAGAGGGTACTTGATTGGAAAAAGCCTGGTTTCCGGATGTTTCCGGTAAATCTTCCATTAGAGATCATCCCAATGATTGTCAATGATTGTCATATTTGTTGATTGATTGGGTCCCAGTGATCATTAGACACCAATTGACATCCCCACTCCACAAAGGCCGTTTGATATTTCCATGAAAATTATGCCAGTGATCATTTCAAGAACTCCCATGTCAGTGAAAATAAACCCATGGAACCAGTTCTTTTAACGACAGGCAGCTCCTGTTGTGGGCTCCCCACAACTTGAACCCTTCCTATCTCCTGGCAACTTGACGTAAAAGCCACAACATCTTGACATATTGAAGGGCATCTTGATATTGCAATGCGTTTCATGGCAGTTGATAAAGGAAAGAATTTCTACGCCTCATTTTTGTTTTTTTGGATACCCTCTGGTTATTTAACATAGCCATGGAGAATGGCCCATTTATAGATGGTTTACCTATTACAAATGGTGATTTTCCATGGCTATGTTAAACAACAAGATGGTATACCAAATTTTCACACAAGCCTTGCTCCGCCTGGAGCAATTGATCTTGCAATCCCCTTTCCCCCGGATCGTAAAATGATGTGTGGCTGTGTGAAATCGGGGATTTTTCATAAGGTGCCCGTTTTTCGAACAAACTCATGGTAAGCCTACCTTTTGGTGAACCATCCCTGACTCTTCTCAGAAGTGTCATCTGACTTCTTTGATGTGCTGTTTCGGCTGGTTTCAGGAGAGCATTTTCAATGAACAACAGATTCTCAACCATTTAGCAATGGCAACAGATCCATCAGACAGAACCACTGGATCAAGTGGAGCAAGCAGATCAAGTGGAAGTGAGGAGCTCCGGCTGGTTGCCGTGCAGTCAGTCACCGGCACAAACTGGCTGGGGTAAGCTATGGTAAACTGAAGATAGATATGGATAGATATCTGGTTGGTGGTTTGGAACATGTTTTATTTTTCCATATATTGGGAATAATGACCCCAACTGACTCAACTGACTAATATTTTTCAGAGGGGTTGAGACCACCAACCAGATATGGTTGTATCATGTTGTATCTCTATCTTAGTTGACTGTTGGGTAATGGGCCAGCACTGGATGCCAGCACCAAAACTCACGTGGGTTGTGTCCGGTGGTCGCCGGGATCTGACATTGTGAGCCGTACTCATATGGGCATGCGCGCGTGCACACACACACGCACAGCTACGCACAGACACACAAACAATTGGTAATTTAACATAACTATGGAAAATCACCATAGAAATACTGAAATTTCTCAGGAATAGCATGGATCTTTCCATCGTTTTTTGTTTACCCCGGATCTTCCCCCTTTTTGCTGGTGGTGAAATCCCTTTGGGACTACCCAGGCTACAGATGCCACCGGGCAGTCAGCAGCCCCAGGGAAAGCACATGAAAGCAGTACTTTCCAGTATTTTCCAGTATTTCCAGTATTTTCCAGTATTTTTGGGGATGTTTTCTTAGGACGTAACGTCACGGGATGAGAAAACCAACGATCTCCGGTGACCTCCATCGCAATTAAATCCTTGGCCGAAACAGCTATCCAGCGGCAGAGCGGAAGTTCCAATGGCTCCAATGTCAGAGATTCCCATTAGTTACTATTAGTTAGTATGGGAATATATATGATCCATTATTATTAATGGGAATACATTCGTTAGTTAGTTACTAATCCATTATTATGATGATCAATAAAAAATTATATATATTTATATAGCTATGATTCATAGCTACAGCATATAAAACATGCTATAGCTGTGGATCAACATATATCAATATCATGACTTTTAGATCAGCGATTTTTTCAGATTTCGACCATGACTGACTGGTTTTCGCCTCCGAGGCACATGCTTGATGTCCTGGAATCAGACACGCAGCCTGGCTAGTTTTTTTTTGTGGAATTTCCCAGAAGCCATGGGATACTCATAAAGAAATGGGATACATTATGATACATGAAATGATACATGAAAATTTCATGATGTCACAGCTATAGCTACAAAATCTTGAAATATAGTGTTATAACATGTAGCAACTATGGATTTATAGTTGATATAGAAATATAGTATCCCATGGTCAGTTATATTTTATAGTGGGATACTATTTGGTGGGATAGTGTTTCATGGATAGTTCAGCTGATATGAGTATAGTTGCTGGAAAAAATCACAACCACCCAACTATTAGGGATAATTACCTATCAATGGGGATATATTTTTGCGTTGAGGATAGAATTGGATATAACATGATATAACCATCAATATGATATATGCGTAGGTCTAAACATGCGGTATTAACGCCCACTGTAAATATATCTTGATAGGGAACATGATCACCAGTTGACTAGCGGATGCCCTATTTTCAGACAAACCTATAAACTAACAAACAATTATGGAAAATCACCATGCTATTAATAGCTACAGTAAATAGTCTATTTCTATGGTCCATTTTCCATAGCTTAATGTTAAATTGCCAGAGGGTATGTTCATTTTTAAAGTAGATGCAGCTATACTTATATTATATATATGTAGGGGATTAGGCTTTATGAAGATAGGGTTTTGTCTAATGATATATGGTAGTGGGATATGTCTTTGAATAGGGGATTTAATGAAGAACACATTGAATTTATATGAAGCTTCTGACCAAGAATTTTGATCCATTTGATCCATTTGGTGGGGAAATTTTATGGACAAAAAATCACCCAATATGATATCTGGGTTTGGTACCTGAACATGGGGGATGGATTTACTCCGAAATGATCGGCCGTTGGAAAATGGGGAAAATGATGCTTCAGATATTTAAGCCATCAAGTTTTGCTCTCAGCCCCTTGAATTTTCAAACAAACCATCAAATCTGGGTTAACCTTGGTTCGGTAACTTCGTCTGGCTTATATTCTACAGTGTTGATGGGAAAACGATGGAACTTCCCTTTTTTCAAACGGTCTCAAAATTATAACTTGTTTTTTGATGTCTTTTGCAGGATATCTAAGATTAGACATCTATAGTAGAAACCTAAAGTTTGAGTACCTTGCGGGGTAGTCTAAGCTTGTGATGGGGAACTTTAATCTAGAAAACAAAATCAACAGAATCCAGAGATGTCTGATATCTATAGATGTATATTATGTATTGTTGGATTTTCCATGACTAAGTTGCATTCCCATAGGGTGAAGCTTCGGCTGGGAAAGGACGGCTTCGATGATGAAACATCGTCTTGGGTCCTGTCTCACTTAGGCCCTTTCTGTTGATTTTTAGACTGTCCATGACTATCCATCTATCCATTTGATTCCATTTGTCTATCTATGTCTACGTGGAACTACATACACATTGGACACGTTGCGTTGCAGGGCGAAACCGTTCATCATTCCCATCCTTGGCCTGTTGATAGGCGGGGGCGCCTTTTTTTTGGACGATTGTTTGGTGGTGAAGTTTACGTTGGGCTTTCTACGGCTTTCGCTGACATCCGATGGCCATGTATTGGGGCTGAATCTTTTGATGTTGGGGAAATTGTGAAACAAGATAGCGATAAAAACGGTGGCGCCAATCCCTTCATTTTGGAAGAGAAACCCATGTCATACCATGTGGTTATTTAACATAGCTATGGAACAATGGCCCATTCATAGATGATTTATGATGATTTAATATTATTTACCTGTTTAAATAGTGATTTTCCTTAGCTACATTAATAAGTTAACTACCAGAGGCTCTATTGTTGGTCACATGTCCTAACAGGATGTTCACCAAGGGCAGCTGTGCCTTCTGACACGTCCCAGACGTTTCTTCCTGCGAGCCAAAGTAATGGGACCGGTGACTGGTTTTGATTTTGAACAAGAAGATATAAGAAAAGCTTTTCCATCGCTACTTGGAAGAAATCCCAACGATTTATTTTTGGACGGATTGAACTCACACACACACAATATATGAATATATTGTATTATTATTGAATATAAACATGAATAGGTATGAATATATACTATATATATACTATATATATATACTATACATACACATCATACATGTTGCATGATTGTTTTTCTTTCCAGGTGATTGTCCAAGTCTCGTCTCGTTGTGAATCGGGGGGCCTCTCACCTGATGTGGAGTTTCTGCATCACCTGTGATGGCATCTTTTTTGGATGAAGTAGACGTGGTTTAGAAAACATAATCCAAAAATTGATAGTTCATGGATGTCCATTAAAATGATTATGATATATTATGATTATGATTATGGTTATCAACATTTCTGCATCACCTGTGAATGATGGCTATCCCGCGGTTTCCCATCATGATCATGGTTCCCCAAGCAGTGTGGTCACACTCAGGGGTTCTTACGGTAGGTGTTAAGGCCCGGTGTTTAATCGAGGTGGTCTCCGGGGCGTCTGGAATTTTCCCTCTAAATTTCCATACAAAATGGCTCTTGTGAAATGCCCGTGTGCACTTCGATTGCACAGGCTCGCACAAAGTGTGCTTCCCGGTCTTGGGATCGGTCTTCCTCCTCAACATCATCCTCCTCAACATCATCATCTTCCTCCTCCTCAACATCAACATCATCACCTTCCTCTTATCATCATCTTCCTCTCATCCTCATCATCATCATCATCATCATGATCACCATCATCATCATCATCATCATCATCCTCATCATCCCCATCATCATTATCATCCTCATCCTCATCACCATCACCATCACCATCACCATCATCATCATCATCATCATCATCATCATCATCATCATCACAATCATCATCAACAGCATCATCAAGATTAATTAACATCATCATCCGCATTATAATGCCTTATCCTTTTATTCCCCCACACTGTTTGGGGTCTCTTGCCGGGATAATTTTTCACATTCTACTATTATACCATGTTCCCCCAAGTTAAGATACACGTCATTTCCCCATCTGAAGCCATCTACCTCTAGTGAGGAGGGCTCGGCTAACACTTTGCGAAGTGGGCAAAACATCGCCATTATAACGACCTCACTATTTTCCCTCACTGGATTCATGGCTAATAAGGGGAATCATCCCAAAATGGCCGCAAGTTTCACGTTAGTGAACTATAATCATGTATGAGTGTTTTTTTAAATGAATTGGAAAAATTGGTATATATGAAATACTATTACTGGGGACGAATCTCATCGACGCAACTATTTGCGGTAGTTGAATACCAAAGCTCTGTGGCCAAATTGCCAAGAGGTTTTTCAATTAAATTAATGAAATAACACAATTAGATGATAAATTAATATAAATTATGCATATGGACAAACAGGACTAGAGGTATTCTAGTATTAGCATAAGTATTAGCAAATCCCTAGTTGCAAGTTGGCATAAAGCCATCCAACCCCGCGTAGTCTGATCCGATTCTCTCACCGTCCAGCGATCTTTCGCATCCCAACCCCCCCAAAAGATAGAGATCCAATTTATCACTTTTGGACGTATTATATATATATGCACTATACATATATGTATATAAATACATATATATATATTACGTGTATCTTATATATATATATAATATTATAATATGTAATGTGTAAATCCCTTACTTGGCCTTGTAACCTGGCTTTTCGCCGGCCTAGCCGGCGCGAGGTTTTTATTTTTTTTCGCTGAAAAATGTCACCGGGGGATTTTCCAGCCAATAGCTATGGTAATAGTACCATCAATGGTATAATTCCTCTGGTAATGACTAACATAACTATGGAAAATCACCATTTTTAATGGGAAAAACCACTATTTCATGGTGGTTTAATGGGATTTTATGGTGGTTTAATGGGATTTAATATGGTATAATTCCTCTGGTTATGTCAGTCAACATAGCTATTGAAAATGGTGATTTAGTTCGTGGATTTTCCCGTGAATAGCATGGGTGGATTTTCCATAGTTATGTAAACGTTTACCAGAGGGTAATTCCTCTGCGAATGATTTTCAATAGTAGACTAGTGTATAAGAGTGCACACTGCAGTTTTGTGATTGAGTCAAGAAAAACGTTTGATGCTTTGGACCACAGAACTACGGTTTAGATGGCCCAGATCGCTAGTTCGATGATAAATCCGTATGAGAATGTAATGGTGAGATATGGTGAGATTTTCCAGTTCGCAGCATGTTGGTCATTACCAGAGGGTATGCGAACGTTGATTGGCTCGTATTCCTATCTTAGATGTGCATCCCAAGAATTGTTGATGTATGCAATAAACATAGGAAATACACAACACACAGTGGGAAATGAAACCCAGTCAAATTGATGTCGATGGGTTGCTAACCACTTACAATTCCCGGGATGCATGCCCAAGTATGGGGTCATACAGTGTTGTACTACCCAATATTTTGGGGAATCCTCGCAGTGAATGAACCACTCATTATTTGGATTGATTTGTGGGATTTTCCAACATGTTTTTTGATTCTCCAATATGACTCATATGGTCTTGGTCTTTGAGGGTATTACATTGACATTAGCGTGGTTGTTGGCGAATGACGAGTTATACAGTTATACATATTTATATGTTTATATATATATATAAATATATTATATACACAGTTATATATATATTTCTTTGTTTGATCGGTAGTATCCATCTCAAGAAGAAACCTGAACTCCCCCCAAAAAAACATACACCGTGGAAACTTAAACCGTTGTGGTTTCCGTTGTGGTTTCCAGCAGTTCAAACCACGGTGGCCAGGTATCTTTATGATGAACCTTCACAGATGCGCAAAGGCACCAGCGAATGTTGGAAGTTGGAAGTTGGAATGGAAAAATGGCGACAAAAAACTAGGTCAATAAGAAAAGATTGGCTTGGTTATTTACCCATTGAAAATGGTGATTTATAGTGGATTTATAGTGGATTTATAGTCATGAAAATGCTATAACTATAACTCAGAATGGAAATGCTGCGCTGTGAGGCAATAAAAACAGTGAAGATTTTTCCACCAGAATTTCAATCGGATATCATAGGATCGTGCTTTTGGTCAGGGATATGACTGGAGAAACAAAATGGAATGTAACAAGCCATCAATGGGATGTGAGAAGCTTGGAACAACACTTGGAGGAGCGGGTGACTTTGTGACTTTCGAAACTCGTCAGGATATACCAAATTTCCTCAACTTCAATGGTATACCAGGGTATACCCCTAGGACCTATTCATAAAATTTCATAAGCAACTTATTTTACGAAACATTTCTACTCGAAGTCTTCTTGCAGGAGCCCAGCAGGGCGAGTTGTTTCGTTGTTTCCAAAACCCGAGGAAAATGGTCCAAGGATGATTGACCTATGAAAATGGCGGATTTTTGTGGATTTTTCATAGCTGTTGAATTACCAGAGGGTAAAGTGGAACAAGGAAAAGTGGAACATTACTCACATGTCTGAACGGAGAAGGATGGAAAAAATGGATGTGTGTTCCAGATTGCCCCCCTGCCAGAGTTCCGGGGAGCGATGGAGCCAGTGCTATGAATTGAGATTCCCAACCACATGCTAGTGAAGATGATTGGTTTTTTTTATGGTTTTTTCCATCATTTATAAAAGAGTTGAGAAGTAGACATCAAAAGATTATGAGTTTCATCAGCTTTCCCTAGATCCTGATGGAAGGTTTATGACAGGGGAAGTCATCTATAAATGGGTGAAAATCTCAAACCAGCCGCGTTGGTTCTGGATCCCTGCCATCGTCATAGATGAACTTTTTGTGGTTGACATACTTCACCACACATCACCATCATCGTTCATTTTGGCTTATATTATTTTATATCCCAACATGAACATCCGCGTTCAATCATCTTATATCCCAACATGAAGATCCGGGAACTGTTCACACTTTCATAATCTTTCATAGCATTCTACATCCACAACATTCTACATCTACCTACATCGACATCCCATCAGATTCCCATAGTATTCGTTCCCGAAGAACGGTGACCGCGCAGCCGCGCAGTTGGATCACATGGAGTCGATCTCCACGGTGGGAAAGCTGGTCCTCTACTTCGGGGCCCAGTGGCGTGGGCCGATTATGGCATCTTTTTTCAGGGGGGATACTACTGGGGAAATTTCCATGTGATTATTAGCAAGAATTTACTGTAAGTGATATTTAATGATATTCTGGTTGGTGGTTTCAAACATTTTTCTGCATATATTGGGAATAATCATCCCAACTGACTTTCATATTTTTCAGAGGGGTTGAAACCACCAACCAGTATTTAATGATAGTGATGATATCTATTTCTGTTGCTCGAGTTATTTCATGGGAAACAACCTGAACTCAACCACGATTTCCGATGTTAAAAAAAAACACGTTGAACTCCACGAAACAACGGGGTTGATGGCTTCAGCTTGGTGGTGCCATCACAATGTCGTGGTGGCTGCCTGTGGCTGAAGATTCAATCAGTATGTCATTATAATTTGGACTGTATATATATATATATACTGGTTGGTGGTTTGGAACATGGCTTTTATTTTTCCATGATATATGGGATAATCCTTCCCATTATCCATTGATATATCGAATATATTGGAATATATAACAGAATATAATGGAATATGACAATGGAACATAACTTCGGAAATATATATATATGTATTAATGGAATATTGAATATAACAATGGAATATGAGAATGGAATATAGTAGTTGCATATGATAATGGAATATATAAACGGAATATCATAATGGAATATGACAACGGAATATAATCTTCGAATAATGGGCTATTAGCTAATACCCGCGTTGCGGTGTCATCAAATATGGCTGGAAAATTCACCAGATTGATGACCACGGGAAGGGGGAAACCTTTGCGGATTTCACAAAGGCCTACGTTGCGGATGGTGATCATCAAAGCAACGTTTGGGGAATCGCGAGTAGCTGATAACCTTATCATCATTATCCTGAAGTAGATAGAATATGAGACTGTCAATTTTATATTAGTTATATTCCTGTTTTAGTGAGGACATTGCGAAATTCACATTCTACTCCAGGATGAGTAGATATACTATACAACTTCACTGTTGGTTGTATGTTATGTATTTTTTTTAATGGTTATTCCATTTGGAACTGAGCCGGGTAACCGCTTTCAGATTTTAAACTGTGAGGAATTCACCCAAAAATAGTGGTTTATATTCTATATAACTGTTTGTTGTGTATATGTGCCATGGTGCAAAGTTGGAATGACATACCCAGACTGGAGACGTATTTGGGCTGGGATTGCCATCATGCCGGAATGCCTACAAAAACATCCCAGAAACATCCAGAAACCAAAACATATTCCTCGCGACTTACGACTGATTTTTACTTCACCATGGCGTGAAGAACAAGTTTAATTGGTGCTAACCTCCCACCAAGAGGAAACAAGTCCTGCCATTCGTGGGGCACCCCCAGTCATAGCCATTGTTTCTTTGACAATTAAATGATGAATCAATGGATGAATCAACGTCCAAGAATATTCAGGTACTTTAGAGCTTTTCCCAAGCATTTTCAGGTACTTTACGGCCTTTTCCCACGAGTTTATTGCAGGTACTTTACGGTTTTTCAGGTTTTTTCCGGCGCAAAACTCAGGTCCTTCATGAACATCTTCATGGGCTGGGTGTTCCGTACGCACGTGACTCTAGAGAAGGCCATTGTTTTCATGTGGGGGCGTTCCAAGTTGCCTGTGATGGGTGAAGACTACCATTAGAAATTGGGGGATTGTCCTATAAACCCATCAATACTCGTTGGTCAGATTCGCCCGGATTTCCAAACATTTTTTGCGGCCACCTTTGGTCAATGATGATTGCAGGTCAAGGAATTCACGGGTTGTTTTCTTGCAGCAAGTAACTATCCTTCAAAATTATACTATCTTTCAGTATATCTATCCATATCTATCTGCGAGCTCACTGAAATGATGGTTAGTAGAGGTAAGTATCCTAAAATATCTTTGATATAGCTTTATTTTTCCTTATTTCAGATTAGTGAATACTTATGATACATATATATATATACTAATATATATATACTAATATATATATACTAATATATATATATACTAATATATATATATACTAATATATATATACTAATATATATATATATATACTAATATATATATATATACTAATATATATATATACTAATATATATATACTTATATATATACTAATATATATATATATATATCAAGGTTCATATGTATATATATATATTATAATATATATATATATGGATACGCACAATACTTTGGCATGTTTTTTTTACATGAGGAAAATGAGGTTTTAATCCAGGTCCATTCAAATTGAAACAGAGAAGCCGCCATGCCTTTCTCACCCGTTTTCAGGGTCATCTTTCTCAAATCTCGGCATTGATGTTTCAGAAGATTTTCTGAACAACTGAGACACAGCTGGATTTTTGGGGTTCCTCTGCGAATTTGGCCAATTTATTGTGTTTCAATTGGTCGTTTGCCGCGGATATCTGGGCTGCAGTTGTTCCAGGTTGTTCCCTTGGTTCTTGGAAAACGATGATCAAACATGGGTTTTAGGGGTACTGCATGTTCGGGCAAAAGCTATGGACCTATGTCTCTTTCTGGACCCCGTCACGATGTCAGGATCCTGCTTGTACAGATTATCGCCACTGTATGATGTTTTATTCTTTGCATATTGATTTCGTATATGTTCGTATATATATATGATTATATATGTATATAATTATATAATTATAATATATATATAATGTAATATTCACATGATGACGATAGGTAAAGATACTCGACGGTATTCACTTTTTTTTTTAAAGTCCCAAAAAGATGCCGAAAAGAGTGTTTCCACTACTGTTTGCATATTTCCGGGTTTCCCACTTTCTGTTCTCTGTTTCGGGGTTGCTATAATCAAACATGAATATGCTATGACCAACAATCATAGATGATTTTTTCGGATGGTAGTCACAGATACAGTAGATAGATACAGTACCCGCCGGTGTCAGCTCATTTCAGCCCTGGGAAATCCCCTTTTTTTCGGCGATCGTTTGAAGCTCCACCTAACCGCAGGGCTATGTGTTGCCCAATGGCAAGACTTTGGAAAACGATCTGCACGGTTGCCCCGTAGGCTTTGCTGCTTGGCCGGATTTAGATATGGGAAAAAATACGAAAAAGTATGGAAATACGTGGACAAATATAGGAAACATATGGGAAAGGATGGAGAAGTATGGGAAACATATGGTAAACACATCAAAAGTTTGGGAAACATATGGAAATTTAGCCATGGAGAGCTGGAAGCGCATCTATGATGGACCTAGGGGATCAAGATTTTTTCATCAGGGGACAGGCGACGCCTTGCAGGAAACTATATAAAGGCATTGACGTCTCTGAAACATCCTGAAAACAATTGACAAAAATTTGACATACTTTCCAGCAACATCTTGCAGAAATACGGACAAATCATAACAAATCCAGAAAAAATGATCATGTCCTTCGGAAACAAACTGTTTATCCATGTGTTTTTTTACCCCATATCTCTGTCAATTTACCGGGTGGATCAACCGTTTCGATTTTTCAAAACCTGGGGATGGTTCCTCGATCCATTGGATTCCATTGGTAGAAATACATCCGAGTGCACCATTTTGAAAAGACCACGGCACGTATGAGTTCTATAGTTAATAGTGGTTAATAATGGTTAATAATGTTGGGTTACTATTATTGATCATATATAGCTAATTTTTAAAAATGACTGGCTGATTGGTGGTTTGGAACATGAATTTTATGACTTTCCATTCAGTTGGGAATAATCATCATCCCAACTGACGAAGTCCATCATTTTTCAGAGGGGTAGGGTTGAAACCACCAACCAGAAAAATCATGGGTATAAAAATGATTAAAAATGTAAACCAACCAACCATAAATGTGAATATCATATGAGGATAATTATATATAACATTGAACCCCCTGATAATATATGATATATATATAATATTATATAATATCATTTAATATCCTCATATGATATTCACATATATATATATATCCTCAAGTGAATATTTTGGATCGCCTTTCCGCGGACTTTTTAAACATGTGGCTGTGGTTCGTTGGGAAAGACATGGCTTAGAGCACGTCCGTCCCATGGGTTTTTCAGTGATTGTTCCATTGATGAATAGGAGATGTTGGATATGGAAGCGACAAAATTTCATAGTTGGATGATTTGGATGTTGGATTTGACAAGTACAATTCCTATGCTGGGAACATCTGGGAACTATGATTAGCATTGATTAGCACAAACTGGCGCCATTTTTCGTCTCTTGGCGATTTTTCTGCTGAGGCCTTAACTGCGATGCAGCAGGTGATCTCCTTTCTGTGTTTCATCATTGTGTGCCTTGGATGCGATACGACATGCTAAAGTTCATTCGTACTAGATCTACCCAGTTTTGGTAAAGGTTAACTCAAAAAACTATGGACAATCACCATGCTATGAAAATGGGATAAAATGGGTAAATCCAGGACATTTCTATCACCATGCTATGTCGCAAACTGTGAATGTTCCCGAGATCTCCCAATCCATGGTGGCCATGGGAAAAATCAGGGATTTTCTAAGTGATGTCATGGGGATATACCGGGGATGAAATGAGCTTTAAACAGAATAGTGTGATTTTTTTTCATATAGCTCTGTGAAAAATTACCGGAGGCCATGTTTTCCTGTAATGGATCCGTGTTTAACAGTGCACCGGGGCTATGGGCCTTATGGCTTTCTTAAGGGGAAGTCATGGGATTATCAAACTGGTGGTTGGCTAACATCTGGGTAAATTTGATCACGACCTCACTGCGACCGAACCCTGGAAAGCATGTTTTTTATAAGGGAAATCATCCCCAAATGGCCGAACTATTCAGATATATGGGATGTCATCCTTCAAATTGACGGACTCCATCATTATTCAAGATGGTTAAAACCATGGTTAAAACCACCAAGCAGAAAAATCATGGGATTATAATGGGCATAGTGTTTAGATACACCTCTTAGTGCCATTCTTTTCAGCTGTTTCGATATCTTTCGATGCTATCCTGGAAGGGGGATTTCAACCACCAGTTTGATCCGATTTCAATGTCAACCCCGGATCAATAAACCATGGTTTAATGGTTTGGTAATTATGAGGGGTGATAATACTGTGGATGGAGGAAATCCTGCACCAGTTAATAGATGGTTTATCCCATTGTAATCCCATTATTTACAATGTTTTATAGTTCCCAATAGTTACCAACTGGTGCAGGATTTCTTCCATCCACAGTATGATACTTTATTGGTCCCCCCAATTTCCCATTTGTTTTTTCACACCCTAGGAGTTGAACGGAAATCCAGGGTTGACCATCTGGTTACACCCCAAAATCCCTGGCTGAAAGTTTGCCCCATGGAAAGCCCGTTGTTTCAACAAGTTTCAACACTGTTGAAAGTTGTGTCAAAAAAAGGGGCGATTTCTCCCAAGGTTTCATGGTACCCCAAATTTCACCGAGTTTAATATTTATGGGATCCAACATTTAAGTGGTTTATCAGGGTTTATTAACCATGAGGTGAACCATGGATCCCAACATATCCCAACATCGCCACCAAATATCAGGTTTGTGTGGGGAAATGATGATTGATCAGTGGATGACATTGTCGGTACACTTTAAACAACAATTTTAGACTCAGATCAGGCAGATCATTGCTGATTCAACTCCATTCCTCTGGGGTTCACCCCACCGTTGGTACCATGATTTTTGCTGGTTACCATCTGGTAAACATTCACAGTTTGCTATTGAAAATTAGTGGATTTACCCATTCAACATGGTGATATTCCATGATTTTCCATGGTTCCGTTAGTTTACCAGAGGGTAACCAAGCTGCGTTTCTTGCCAGGTATGGTTTGCTGCGACCTGGCTGGAAATTTGGGGTACCTGGCGACGGCTCGATTTTATGTGTTTTTAAAAAATCCATAGTCATGATGAATATTATGTGTATAATGTGTTTATAAATATATTATAAAACCCATGGATTTTTTATTGTGTCATTTTCATGTGACTATGACATCAACTCGTAGTTTTTGACTTACTGATGCACTGAAAGCATGGACTTGGAATCATGGAAAACGTTTCCGGTGTCATCTTTGTTTGCACAAGGGCGGAGGGCTGGGTATGTTCCATTTGTCCTCTTCCGAGCATTCAACCAGATGTTGATTTATTTTGCACCGGGTCCCACCACAGAGGCCCTTGAAACATCTCATGTCATGTCTACATTGAAAAAACAATTGGAAAACCACGTCATAGTGCTTTTCGGCAGAGTTTTTGGGGCGGCAGAGGTTGCTACTCCAGCTTTGTGCCACCGTTTGGATATAGCTCCAATTTTGAGATACCCTTTTCGGCGTTTTCTGATGTGGATGAATTGAAGATCATAACAGTGTTTCGGATCTATGATCTACACATGGATTACCCATAGGATCCATGTATGCTATATATGGTAACATTTACCATCAATATACCCCCAATGTTAGCATATATACCATACATGGATCCTATGGATTATAATTACATGGCTTTGAGAATAGGATCCCTATGGATCCCTCTTTTTATTCGCCGAGGACACTGTCCTCATTTTCCCCATGAAAGTGGCAATTTTTCTCATCCCATTGGCCGACATTTCCCTGTTGAACCAGACTAAACTCATCTGAAAATCTGATCTGAAGACATAGAGACAGAGGGCACCCCTTCCATTCGTAACTCCAAAAATGTCACTTACTTCAGTGACCCAACATCACCATTGGGATTCCACACATCGAGGTATTATACTCCGTACAAGTCTTTCGGCAGCATCCAGCTGCGTTGCGTTGTGATGTGCCAGAGATTTCATGATTTGCCGAAAAAATTGGATCCATTTATTTTACTATTCCGGTCAGCAATTTTAATTGAAATAGTTCACTAATGTTCACTATAAATGGATCATTGTATACTACTATATTGTATAGTAGAACTTGTAGTAGCCATCAGCAATTTTAGAATGTCCAATTGAGCGCAATACTGGTTGAATTTGGTTGATCAGTACAGATACGGACAGATACAGTCGGATGGGTAGCAATCGGAGATGGGATGATTACCAGCTATTTGGATGTTCAGCCAGGTACCAGGCTTAGATGATATTTAGGGTATGCGGGATGTAGCGGGCATAGCATGGTATAGCTGGACATCTCCCCGGTAGTTCATAGTTCATAGTATTGATAATAGGTTTTCATACATAAAAAAAAGTACATTTGCATGTTCGTTTTTTTGGTATCATAAATTTCAAGCCATTCCCGCCTCTTCTCTGGATTGACCAAGGTAGAGGTTCGTTACTTCCACATTTTCTGTTCTTGGCATCACTTTTTGGTTAAATCGTTTTTTATTAAATCTTGAAATAGTCTATGACTCTTTTTTTTTCCCAGAATCTCAATTTACTATAGGTCTTTTCTCAATTTACTATACCCATAGGATCCATGTATGCCATATATGGTAACATTTACCATCAATATACCCCAAATGTTAGCATATATACCATACATGGATCCTATGGGATATACAAACAGATTTTTTTGAAGATTCCGTATCTACTCCAGGATTGTAGAAATCGCTGCTCTTCAAAAATTCTGGGTCACCTCGGCAGTCTTCCGACGGTTTTTTCGTCGGACAACTCGAGGATTGAAACGAAGCGACTCACTTCATGCAATGAGGTCATTAGCATTTGCATCTTTGGAAACTTGGATAAACTTGGCGATGCTTTTTATATATCTTTTTCGATGCGCTTTTTTCTTTTTCGTCGAAAGATGTTGAAACATATGTTGAAACCACCAGACAAGGGACCAGAGATTGATGGCTTATGATGTTAGCATTGAACATATGAGTTGATATTAAACAATATGATTATGGTCATCTTGAATGTTTGATTTTGCGAAACATGAGTCATGTAATTCTTCCATGACCCTAGTGGTAGAAAACAATGGACATCGAGTCGCGCGGCCATGGGAAAATTGGAGAGCGACGTTCATGGTTTCTCCACATCTTCGTCAATTGAATGTATAGTTATTATTAATTATTACTATTATCATTATTATATAACTTATTGTACTATATTATTATTAATATGACATTGTGAATTAACTGACGAGGTAGCTTTGAGTTTCTTGCTCAACTGTGCTGAACGGCAGATGTACAACAGTCCTCCGAATGGTGATCGTTGAATGACCACTTTGAAGAACGGCGTTGATCGTTATATTTATAGATTGATGAACCATGGCTTTTTCTGTGAGCCAGTACTGGCCAGTACTACTACTTTTAAGTATTCACCATGTCTAAGTCTAATAGTAATGGCATAGGCCATGGTGCTTTTTTCGATCGCCATGGCGGATCTCCTGGGATGATACGTCCATTTTTTTGCGACATGTTTGTCATAAAAACAACAACATTTTTACCATGATTGTCCCAAAAACATGGAAGACAAGACTTATGATGGTGACTTTTGATGCGAAATATATTTTTACATCCGCATATGGATCTCAGATCTGGCTGAGGAAGTGTCTTCGCTTTGAACATTGCCTTGAACAACTTCAGTTTGGGGTGCCCTGAATCGCCTGTCGAAATAAGCGACGACCAGAATGGGTCCGGACCGTGTGAAATTTCGATGAATTTCGTCATTTTTTTGGATCTTTTTGGTATGACGAAACATTAATGGAAACCATTAATGATCCATTTTTGGATCTCCATCAGAACCCATTAAAATGATGGAAACATTTTCCTGCACACCATGCCATTTTTCCATGGGTTATGACCTGCCGCCAGATATTTTTGATGACCATAGATGACCCTTATTTTTGATGGTGAAGCCACCATTTTACCTTTTTTCTGGCCCCAAAAAAGACTGAGACCTGGAACATCAATGAAAGTCATGGATCAACATGAAAAATCCATGGGAAATTGAAGTGGAACAGCACCATTTTACGTATAAAAGATATAGGGGTTGAAAAACTACCTCTGGTAGTTGGAAACCTCACTGGCCATATCATGGGCTATTCTTTTTTGGACAAACTAATTCCATTACATGCATATATGATCATAAAGGTACCATATATTCATAGGGAGAGAGAAAGGGAAACACATCAAATGCATCTTATTGATGGCACCGCTCCAAAAATACCCGAACGGGAGTTTTTTTTTTGGGTGGCCCTGACATACCCTTGTTAGTTTTGGTGATGATGTCTTGACTTTTTTTCCCCATTTTTGTTGACCGTCAGATGGTAATGTTTTTATAGATGGTAATGTTTTTATAGTTAAGCCGCTCATCTTCATTTGCCAAAGATGTTGATTCAGTCTCTCTTATGATCTCCCCGATCATCATCCCAGGTTTTTTTCCCCACAGAACCAGTGGTATCCTCATCTGGTTGGTGGTGACTGGAACCATGGAATTTTATGACTTTCCATATATTGGGAATGGAATAATCATCCCAACTGACTTTCACTCCATCATTTTTCAGGGGGGTAGGTCAACCACCAACCAGTCATGATCTCAATGAGCTCCCCGTATTTGCTGCTTCAATGGGCCATTCGTTGCAGAGGTACATCAGCATTGCCGTGAACCTCATCATCCGGTCCTGCTTGCCCCTGACCACCTTCATGTCACAGCAAGGGTGGCTGGACAGGAACTGTAGCGAAATAGGTCAACTCCACAGACTCCAGAGTTTTTTTTTGAAACAGCGGCTCCACATCCCCAAATGAAACAGGGTAAATAAACATTTTTGTTTTTTGCAGCATGTTAAACATAACTACAGTATGTCTCTAGTAGTATGTCTCTAGTTATGTTGATTCTATATAGATTTTCTATTACAGTAGTATGTTTCTGGGTTTTGACATGTATCCCTTAAGATATCCATGATGACAACTAGCAGCTGGCCATGCGACCCGACCCGGCCTAAGGTTAGCGATGTTCGGTCTCTATCCGTTCAAACCTTGCCGGATTGCTGAGACGCTTGGGATGAACCAAGGGTTTTTCTATGGAGGTTGAGCCATGGGGGCCATGGGGACACCAGTCATCATCCAGTCGTCATGGTGACTTGGGTATCTGCAGTATCCAGCATTTTTAAGCAACCCCCTGGATTTTTTTTTGTGTTTTTAGATAGTGCATTTTTCCCCTCATATTCACTCCAGTTGGTTTTGGAATAAACACACAACAGGGGTCAATCTGTGTGCTTCACTGGGGATGAGGAAGTTTTCAGAAAAGGACTCGTCCCTTATGCTTTTGCCATGGGAACACGGGGTAGCAAAATTTAAACATCGGTATATCATGTTACAATGGTATGAAAATAGCATATAATAGTATATAATAGTATATAATGGTATATAAATCATTAACCATCATCATTAACAGTATATTAACCACAATTTCTGTGCTTGATGAACTGGTACCTTAATGGTATATAATCCAGTTTCCAATAGTTTCAATTTCCGGTTTCCCTCCCCCAGGATTGGATTGATGACGCTGGGTGTGTGCTTTGCGGCACTCTTTACCATTGCCAAGATTATGGGTGCCTGGACCGCACTGTGCCAGAACTCCAAAATAAAAACATGGAAACAATATATTGAATAATATGGAACAATAATTTTTGGACATCATGGAGCTCATCTATTTGAACATGGGCAAACTGTAAGCTTACAACCTTCGGAACATTTTTTTTTGAATCGTGGGATTTGGAGATAAAGAACATGCGAACCACATTTTTTTTTTGTGTGTGACACATGGTCATATATTGTGCAAATGATATTTAATGCGTATAAGGATTGACATCAAAGTGATTGAACATGGAGATTTACCCTCTGGCTATTTAACATGGAAAATGGCCTATGTTTAGATGGTTTACCTATTAAACATGCTGATTTTCCATGGCTATGTTAGTCATAACCAGATGGTATGCCAACGCTACACCGGGGAGAATCCCCATCCCCAAATTGGGTCATGGTTTGATCCACCATGGTCCATTGGTACCTCCAAGTTGGAGATAAACCCATCTACTGCTGGTTGGTGGGGACTGGAACATGACTGGATTATGACGTTCCAATCATATTGGGAATGGAATACTCATCCCAACTGACGAAGTCCATCATTTTTCAAAGGGGTAGGCTCAACCACCAACCAGAACATAATTACTATTATATATTATCATTGTTGCTATTTATTGCTGGTATTATTGTTCATGATTATTTGTGTTATTATCATTATTGGTACATAACTGTATAGATAAAATATGATAAAATATCATGATATACCAATATTGCTGGTATTATTGTTTGGTATCATTTATTGCTGGTTATTTACCAATAGATACCTTGAGGCAAAAACAGACGGACACATGGCATGACATCGGATCCTACTTCCGAGGCTCTGCTGAGAAGGGACACTCCTCCTCCAACATGGTCCTGGGTGTGGCCTGGCTCAGAAAATCGGGTGAAATATTGACAAACTATGAGCAAATATTATAGATAAACCACTTAATCTTATGTGAATAATGGTGGTTAATAGTGGTTAATAATGGTTAATAGTGGTTAATATGAGCAAATGCCCCAAACAATGGTGGTTTGCAGAGAATATCATTGAAGTAAATTGGGGGTTTTCAAGTGTTATGATGACACCAGAGGCGTTTGAAGCTTCACGTTTCTGGGTCAATTCATGTCAATTCCACTCAATTCCATTCAACTCCCAGCTCGTCTTTGATCGTCAATGTCCCATCATTTGCGTAGAAAATATGATGCCCCAGTCGTCCATGGTTTCAAAAACAATTTTCCCTGATCTGGTAAGAATACAATATATTAATATAATATAAGATAATATAATTTTATTTAATATGATATGATATAATATTAGTATACTATACTATATATGGTGGTTGATCTAAAGGTCCTTACAAGTTTTAATTGCGAAAGCCGTGCGAAGTTATGTTGGAAACCCTCGCAATTTTTTTCGAGTTCGCGAAAGATATTTTTTTATTCGCGAAAATTTCGCGAAAGTCGGATATTATGAATCATTATCATTGTATACATTACAGCTTGTTCGGTGCTACCACCTCCTGCCGCCCGGGGGCCCGGGGTCCGGCAGGAGAATGGTACCGCACATTTACCTTTCCCGTCATAGGTAGCAGCCAAGCTTCCGAAGGTGAGGCTTCGCCACAGCCAAATACCATGGTCTTGAAGCACATCCTTGTACCTGCCGCTGGTACTGCCTAGCTTTCTGAAGTCTCAAGAAACAAGCTCCAAATGCAGCAGCCAAGCTTCCAAAAGTGAGGCTTTGCGAGAGCCAAACACCAAGGCCCCTGGTGTTTGCGGTTCCTTTGATGCGCCCCCTGCTGATGGCTGGGGTCTGCGGATAGGGGTATTTTCGCGAAAGTTTTGCGAAGGACTGGGCGAAAGTCAAACTGCATTTTGAGATATGTGCATAAATCCCGTTTCTTGAGATGTTTCACTCCCCATATTTTTTCTGGTTATCTTGGTTATCTTCCACCATTTTTGATTTGTCCGCCATTTCTGGATGTTGGACCTGCTTCAGAGCCAACAATTCTACAACCCTTTTTTCCCGAAATACACCTTAAACCCATACTTCCCATGAAATCAACTTTAAGTTTTTCGGTTCCCACTTTCATTCATTTTCATTTTTGGGCGGCTCATTTTTCTCAGAATTTCATTTCCTCAACATTTTATAAACATTTTATGGAGATCTGGGTTTTCCTTAGCATCAGCAGGTGGTGATATGCATTTTGTCCCTGCTCTGCGGATCCTTAAACCTGGCCTTGGCTGGCGTGCTGGGAGAGATGAAGATGAGCGTCGCTTGGTTTTTTTTTGGGATTTCGTCACCGCATCCTGAAATAAAGGGGCTATACATGGCTATACAACACATGTTTTTGATGATGGAGTATGATCAGGGTTTTACTATGTTGTGCTTTCCAATATAATATAATTACTGGGGACTTATTTTTCTTAAAAATATAATCCACACATTTGGGGATATAACTCATATTATGGGTTCTTAATGTTTCTTAATCACTTACACAACTAAAGTCATTTGAGCAGCGGCTGCGTCCGGCACGCCTGTTTAATGATTAGTTTGGGGGTTCTGCAATATACTGGGGACTATCACAAGCCATGCGCTGGGAACTCCTATTAACCAACTCATATACAGGGACGACAGAGGGTTTCGAACACTGTTCATTTGCAGGAAATCATAATTGATAAAACAATGATATGAGGATGTAATAGGGGGATATAAGATTAGTTATCCCTGTCCCCATCACTCACTTATATCCGATCATTTTGTAGGAATGTGGAGATGTAAATAGGGGGATATGTGGAACATGACAAAGTCTGGGGTGGATATCAAACCCTATAGGGGGATGTTTTTTGATATAATCTAAAAATATGCGGATAGAATTGACACAATTGACAAATGATGGTTGGTTGATGATTAGTTCGGGGGTATTAACTCATATATATATATGTATTATACCTATACGTATATTATATATGTTCTATTTCATACATAATACTGTAATTACCTGTACATAGTTCTCGATCTATTCGGGATTATCATCATGAACTGGGAATCCTTTTCTGAACAGTCGGTAACTACCAGATGGCCCCTAAGTAATTATTCTGGCACTGTTTATCAGGATATAATGGGGATATGTGATATACAGTAATAGGTTTCAATAGCAAAGTTGATATAATTTGATATATATATATATACACACTAGTTGGTGGTTTGGAGCATTTTTTATTTTTCCATATATTAGGAATAGTAACCCCAACTGACTAATATTCAGAGGGGTTGAAACCACCAAAGAGTATATATATATGTTGATATATGATGATATATGTTGATATGACATATGGGTGTCTGTACGTGGATATATATATATATATATACATACTGGGACGACATATTGGGATGATGTGGGATCTTTTTTGGCGACAGCAGGATTGACATCGAAAACCTGGGTCGTCCCATCTCAAAAACACCATATTTATATTAGCAAGTACCCTCTGGTAAACGTTTACATAACCATGGAAAAACACAATTTTTCATGGGAAAATTCACTATTTCTATGGTGAATTTCCATAGTTATGTTAAATTACCAGAGGGTAATATTGGAATGATCACTATGTGGAGGACCCCCCAATTGGTAAACTGGGGGTCAACCATTGTATTGTTGTGATGACTTTTGTGGTCGCTTGTCCCAGCACGATATGTGTATGTCTCAAGATGTTGTGTGAAGTTAGATAGTTCAGTGTTAGTATGGTCTATACTTAGACGTGCAGTGAAATATTCAGTGGTTTTCAAGTGGAGTATGCCTCCTTAGAAGTGGGGCGTATTCAATGCATGATATACAGAAGACCCCAACAACCAGCCACTTCGCTAACTCGGGCAACAGTATGCAACAGTAGTACTAAACAGAACTATTTTTTTTTCCGGCACATTGGTACCCCAGCTGCTATGGTTTACATTTCACAGCTGCAAATAGCACCATCTTTCGGTTTCGGACCGAGGTTTATGATACGGTGGCCTACATGTCAGTGCCCGCCACCATCTTCCTTGTGCCCTTTGCGGTGTTGCTCGGTGATCCAACCACAACAAAAGGCGACGGTCCTCCAAGCTCGGGGGAAATGTGCTACAGGATGTTGATTGATGTGGAGTGATTTTGTCATTTAATCTATGTCTATTCATGACGAATTTTTATCTATATTTACTGTATTTGAAGTTAAACAAATGGCAACTTGTATCTATATGAAGTTTAAACAATGGCTTGGACTTGGATATCCATGAACTATAAAATGGTGATGGCCCGAAGGAAGTCACAAGGTATTTCAATGGATTTCAGCCATTCAGCCAGGCAACTTGTACACCTGAGCTCCGAGGAGCAACACAGATAGATGGATCACGTCCACATAGATTCAGATGAAGTTTTTCTCACTCCCAGACAGAACAGTAGTTGTAAACTGGAAATATTAAGTACAGTAAATATATTTGTTTCTAAAACTCTGGAAATACGTTTCGACTTTTTGGGGTTTCTATATATGCAAAATATACGTGCACCATATAAAAACATTTTTTTGGTGTATCGACGTTTGTGTTGGCATTTGTTTTAACCAACGTTTGCCAACTGTATGTACTGCTTGATGGTTTCAGGTATTCTTTTAGTTATCAGACAACAGTATTTGTTAAGTAGTGTAATGCCATTATCCCCTAATGTTTATTACCGTTACTATAAAGTTATATACATATTAATTGATTTTTCAATTCTAATATATTGTTTTTAGATTTACTACTGTTTAAAAATAGTTTTGTTATTGTTATATATAGCTATATATTCTTGCTGGTTTGGACCATTTTTTCATGACTTTCCATTGGGAATGTGATCATCGCAACTCAGATTTTTCAGATTCATTGAGGTTCTTGGAGAAGCCCGTGCCTGGACAATGGCCCGAGGTGCGCGTCCGTTTTACCGGAGGAAAAGAAGGGTGGAAATTCCTATGGAAATCTCCGATATCGTGGGGAAATCATTGGGAGATGTCCATATTTTTGGGAATTGGGATATGTCACTGATACGGTGGATGGGCCTGCGAAATCCCAATCACCAGTTGAAAACGATGGTAAACATCCCATGATTTTGTTTGGGTTTCAAGCATCCGTTGGGTGATGCAGGATTTCGCAACCATCCACTGATATTGTCCATATGAATTGTCATTTCATTGGATGATATGAACATGTTAATGGTTATACAATGTTATAAATGGTGATTAAATTGGGAGATTTAACCACAATTTTCGTGGGATCACAACAGGTACAATGGGAATTTCATGGAAAATCAGCGAATGGTTGACTAATATCAACTATCATATCATATGGTTGACTGAGATATTCTGGACATTTCTGGACAATAGCTACCACAATGAGGATATCATTGAAAAGATATTGTACAGTAATGTCAATGAACAATTAGTTATTATAGGACATATTCATGGGGAAATCATTAGGATAGCCCATATATTTCCACAATTAATCGGACAACGACTAACGACATCACCGCCACATTAGTGAAATGATCGTTAGGGATAACTATGCCATGATAATCGCCTTATTTACGTTTATGTCAGAGTCATATGTCCATCAGAAAATCGGGATCATAGGATATTCTGGGCAAATCACAGCATGTTAACGAATATCAAACTCTTAATGGTGAACTGGACTATTCCACAACCATTTTACTTAAAAGGCATAATGGAGCATAATTGGACATATGTTTCTGGTTCACTTATAGTAAACTATCCAGCCTTATAGTAAACCCATCTACTGTATATATAATGTGATAATACCACTTGTTAATGGACATATATTATGACTATCATGAGTGGGATAGGAATATGTCATCGGACATTTGATCATATCAATGGATTAGTGGTATCTAATGATCTAACATCGGAAATCATCGGGATATTTAAGGACAATAAGTAGCCTCTGGTAAACGTTTACAAAAAACGATGGAACATCATCATGTTTTAATGGGTAAATCAACTATAAATGGCCATTTTCAATAGCTATGTTAAATTACCTATGTTAAATTACCAGAGGGTATCATAAGAAATAGTTAATGAATAGAATTTGACATAATGTTGACTAATTATGTTAAATGGCTTAAGTGGGAATCATGGTTAACTAGTTATGTTCAATGGTTAACTAATTATGTTAACAGGGAAGAATGGAAAAACGGTGAGCTAATCATTTTGAACGGGATTAAACTAAAATCAATGGGGATAGAGTGGGATAATCATGGGGAACATATGATATAAAGGGGATGTATGATATATGATATATAGCCAACTTTTTCTTTTGGGGGGGTGGACATATTGAGGGCATGGGAAAGTTATGGGATAACATAATGAGATATGTCCACAATGGGAGAAGTAATGGGACTACTGCAATTACACTAATGTTAATGAGGAGAATCAGATATGATTGGAGTATAACTATCAAAAATACATAGTTAGTTGGAGATTAAACGCGCATAGTTCATGGGAACATAGACACATTAAGTGGGAAACATGTCGAAAATTGGTGGCACGAACAGCACATTTATGATTGGATGAGTTCACAAAGCGGAGTGGGGCACAACCAACATCTAGAATCAACAGCTTTGGAGGTTTCCTTTTTATGGGGGTACCCATTCCATTAATCATCCAAATTCATCCATACAATATACATAATATATATATAATTATATATATATAACATATATATATATATATAACATATATATATAACATATATATATAGTATATGTATATCTTATATTATATATATGATATATATCTATATATATACACTATATATATTATATAACATGTTAATATTAACACCCCTGATGACTTGGATCCCCCATTCTCAGCTCCTCAAATTCATCGCCGCAAGAGGTCTTCAACACGGAGGATGCCACGGATTTCATGATTCTCCGTGAGGCCCAAGGATTTGTTGGCCATTTTTTAAAAACCAGTTGGGAAATTCTAAGATTAACCAGTTTTTTTTTAGATTTTTAAATGACTACTGTAACTGTTTGGCAGATTAACCAGGTTTTTTTCGGACTTTTTAATGACTAATTGTCTGGGTTGATCATTTTTTTGGGGGAAATTATCATTAACCAGTTGGAATGGAATGGATATACCATATTTTGTAGACCAGTCAGAGAAATAGCATATTTTGTAGGCAAGTCAGACTTAAGCACATGAAATTATTTTGGTGATGGAGGATTTTGTCACTTTTTGATGGAACATGCATATATGGATCATTTCAATTTATTTCGGATGATCTTGTGACTACATAATCAATTTCATAAGCATGATTTCGGGGGATTGCACAATATGTCAAAAAACTATATATATATATGTATGTATGTATAATATATAAACATATTTTTGGTGTCGCTGTTAAGGGGCCGTGTGCTGTCTTCACTTTTTTCTGTTTCAGCGTGGTTCTGGTCATTGTGTTTGTTAACCGGTTCGGGTGGGTGGGTGGGGGGAATGTTAACGTTCATTGCGACTGCTAGGTTCTCTTGCACTTCTATACACACTTCATGGTACGCTACTGCTCGGTTCTCTTGTACTTCCACACATACGTCATGCTACGCTACTGCTAGGTTCTCTTGCACTTCCACACAGACTTCATGCTACGCTACTTCTAGGTTCTCTTGCACTTCTATACACACTTCATGCTACGCTACTGCTAGGTTCTCTTGCGCTTCTATCTTGCACTTCTATACACACCGCATGGTACGCTACTGCTCGGTTTTCTTGTACTTCCACACATATGTCATGCTACGCTACTGCTAGGTTCTCTTGCACTTCCACACAGACTTCATGCTACGCTACTGCTAGGTTCTCTTGCACTTCTATACACACTTCATGCTACGCTACTGCTAGGTTCTCTTGCACTTCTATCTTGCACTTCTATACACACCGCATGGTACGCTACTGCTCGGTTTTCTTGTACTTCCACACATACGTCATGCTACGCTACTGCTAGGTTCTCTTGCACTTCCACACAGACTTCATGCTACCCTACTTCTAGGTTCTCTTGCAGTTCTATACACACTTCATGCTACGCTACTGCTAGGTTCTCTTGCACTTCTATCTTGCACTTCTATACGCACCGCATGGTACGCTACTGCTCGGTTTTCTTGTACTTCCACACATATGTCATGCTACGCTACTCCTAGGTTCTCTTGCACTTCCACACATACGTCATGCTACGCTACTGCTAGGTTCTCTTGCACTTCTATACACACTTCGTGGTACGCTATTGCTCTTTCTCTTGTACTTCCACACATACGTCATGCTACGCTACTGCTCGCTTCTCTTGCACTACCACACATACGTCATGCTACGCTACTGCTAGGTTCTCTTGCATTTCTATACACACAGGAATGTATAGAAGTTAACTATCGAGCTGTGCCTGTGAATGCCAAAAAAAATCAGAATTCATGTCAAGCAAAGTTTCGAAAACAAGAGTTGTCATAAAAAATTCCGTTTTTTGAGTTAAAACACTCAAACATGAGTATTTTCGGTGAACACTACGTGGTTTTAAGCTCATTGAAAACACATTGATATGATGCAAATGTTGAAAAACCCTCAGGAAATTGCGATTGGACACTGATGCTACGAATGTGGATCTTACACCACTGCACGGCCTCTTATCAGCGCCGTTACCATGTCTTTGGGTCTACCACAGCTATGCATTTCGCATAGAAGTCACAGAGTCTTTAAAACCCAAAACCAGAAATCCCACAATTAAGCGCCTACCCCCCAAAGGTAAATTAGGTGGTGTTTCTTGTGTTCCACACGGAGTCTGGGGTGTATTACTCAGGAGGTCAAAGCTGAGGTTTCAATGTCAGGCAGGTCCAGATGGAACTCCAGAGCTGGATATGGTAAGATGTCCTTTCTCTCCCGCCAGTGCTGCATTTGTTTTTCATATTACGTTACTTGCGTTAGTTCTTAAATTTTTCATAATGGGTGACACCTATTGACCTTGTTCAATAATTGTGTCCTTATCTACCAATATGTGTCCTAGGTCCTAGATATCGCCGTTTTCCAGGGATAAACCAGCTTTTGATGCACCCTATCCCCAAATGTGCTGGATAAATCTGATCAAAAATCCCCTGAAATCTCCATGTCACGTTCAACTCACCATTTTCCTAGGTGCTTTTCCCATGGAAAATCGCCGAATTTTTCGCCGTTGCCAGGTGATGCGCATCGCTCCCGGGACCTTCGCTCTCTTCGCGCTGAGTGGAGTGTGCGGAGGGGACGGGGATTTCCAGCGAAATTGGGACGGAAAAGGTCAATCTGTTAGATCATATTTGGGTGATTTGATATATTATATCTATACAATATTGTCATATCAGTATAATTGGGATATAATTTGTCAATATGAAAAACTGATGTGATTTGATCATATATGATCTATACAGGATATGTATGATCATATAGAAACATATATAATATATGAAATACTATGAAATACTTTTGTTTGGGCCGCCCTGATGGATAGATCCAGTACATGCCACCAGGCGAACTCGAAGTGGATTCCACAGGGCGAACTTGCCAGCTCTCTGGGGCCGGACCCCCCAATGTCAAAACTTTGCTATGGGGTCTTTGGCCCAGATGACCTCCGGTGCGATCCGGTGCAGATTCAACACCAGGTTCCGGTCAAGGTTCCGGAGGGTTCCGGTGCAGAGACCTTGTGAGGTTCCGGAGGCCTTGTGAGGTTCCGGAGGGTTCCGATTTTTTTTTTGGCATAAGCACTTTTTACGGCAAAAACGAGAAGCTTTCAAGCTGTTGGGGATAGCACCTGAGTTTATTTTGTGTAATTAGTTGTGACGTCGCGATCGCAGTTTTTCAAGAAGGGGGCCAGGGGGGTCAGCTTTCACAATACTTGCCAGCCAAAGTTTCTCATCCCCGACATGGAGGCCCCCAGAATCACCAAAACATATGTATATAATTGTATATATATAGTCCATGTATACATGGACACTTTTTTCATGTGACTTGGAACCAACAAACACCACATCCTGTGGTACTAGCGTCTTCATGACCCCATTTTTCGGGCTGCATGTTAACTTTTTGGGGGTGTATTTGGATGGTGATTCTCTCCCGTCACGGCTTGGGGGGCTGTTAAACACCGCACGAAAAACATCGAAAAACACAAAGAGATCGATATCTACGCAGGGCCAAGCGAAGACTGCAAGGGTGGTAAGCATTCCACCAGTTATGATCCGGTAAGGACTATATCATGAAAATTCATGAAACCCACCAGTCATCCCAGCCGCCGCGGCTGGCAGGTTTTCCTTCATGCTCGGGGACCCAATTGGTGGTCCCAGTTTTTTCGGTCGTGGCTCTAGTGAACAGCCCTTGATCTATGTCTTAGAATAAATGGATGTTGGAAATATACGTGTCATTTGAGAAATCAAACTCCAGAAATCTGATTTCGCCTCTCATCATTCAGTGGCAGCATTGAAGTTCGAAAATGACTCCAGGAGTACCTGAAGAATCGGTGGTTCAAGAGACCGACTGACACTGAGGTATAACATTGTCCAGTTCAGCATCGTGCACACGCTTTCGCCGTCCGCTGGCTGTGTTGTCTTACATCCACCATAGTTTCTGTTGGATGTTGATTAGGTGGGATTAGTTGAACAAGATTGAACATGTTCAAGAATAAGAGTTGGGATGGAAATTACATGAAATTACTCGGTGATATTAGGGGCATATGTTGAACCACCTGCCAGTCATTTTTTCTCTGGGCGAATGGGCGCGTAATTGGGATGGACTATGGTGAGATTCCCATTGTTTTGGCGTTTTTTTTGTTGATCCTGTCATTTGTCAATGTGTCTTCCGAAAGAATGCAGTGAGTGATAATAAAATAATATGAAATATATAATGATATCTATAAATCTATAGATCTCTAGATATTTTCATGATATATTTTCTTGGTGATTCACATCCATATTAATTCACATCCACGCGTTTCTCAGAAAAGCCAAAAATCCATTGCATCTGGCCACGTCGCTGAGATCAGCCACGGCCTTTGGCGGCAACTTCAACAAGGCTGCGCTGGTCTTGTTGACCTTGACCCTGCCCTTCCTGCAGGTCCGGGGGCGCGAATGGGCGGCTGGTTTTTCAGGGGGTGTGAAAATGTGTGGAAAACTGGGGTTTGGAGCCCGTGAAAAAGCAGAACATTATTGATGGGGATGGAAGCTGAAGTTTTGTTGATGATATATTAGGTTCTTGGATATTTTTCGGTACTCTTAGCGAAAATCAAACACGTTGTTTGCCATGCTAAGAGGAATGATTGTAAGAAATGTTGAGGATGATGGTTGTACTCGGGCCGTTTCAAAAGGACTTACCACAACACATCCAAAATCGTTCCTGTTGGAGTATGGGTGGCGCTTACATTTCGGTTCCTTAAATATGCGATGTTCATCACCGGAAAGCAATACATGGTAGTATTATTATATACCCATAGGATCCATGTATGCTATATATGATTACATTTACCATCAATATACCCCCAATGTTAGCATATATACCATACATGGATCCTATGGGATATACAGTCATAGCCTTTGACCCATTTCCATGTTTTGCATATTCCAACTGCATTCTATGGCCCAGTCTCTGGGCGTTTGAATTTTTTTTGGCACCGTTTTGCAAGGAGACTCTGTGCCCCATACCCAGAAATTGACGGAAAAAAGTACAAACATTAGGGAGTAAGGCATATTAATAGATGCATTAATAGACATATATAGGCATATCATATCATTTTTTTATATCTGTTTAGTTGGTAGGTGTAAAATCTCTAGAAACTACCTCCAGTTTTTTTGGGGTCACATGTGTGCCGGAGGTACATTCATTGCCTGGCAGCCCGTACATTGAGGCGCCGTTTCGGGAGAAAACCATGAGGACGTTGTAGAGGAAGCCAACCAAAAAGGGATAGGAAAATCATGTAAAAATCCTACTTCAATAGTGATGAATGACTTAAATTCTACTTCAATAGTGATGAATGACTTAAATCCTACTTCAATAGTGATGAATTACTTAAATCCTACTTCAATAGTGATGAAATGTGATGAATTGGCTTTAAATCTTCTGTTTCACTTCCGGGGATTACCTAATAGATGACATTCAGGATGCGCAGCAAACTCGGGGATTTCTGATTTGAAGCAAATGGGAGGAGATCAAAACCCCCCATTTTCTCTTTGAATTTACCATTTTTTTGGGGGCGAATGCTGGCTGTGATCCAGAGCCGAATGGAGTTTTCGGTGCCGGGTGTCTTTCTGAAACCTTGTACTTGCTCAACCAGGGGTCTGGATCAATATATGACGACGGAACCATATTTCAGCTTGGTGATTTATCATTAAATCCAGACATATTATCCAGACGTACTATTGTATACCCCACCCAATGATGTTCCCATGTGATGTTCCCATTTCTCCAGATTTCGGATTTCCATAGATTTACTATGATATTCCGGTGATATTTTGCAAGTTCCCATGTGTTTTTTCCCCTATATATTATACATTGCATGGTCGGATGTGATTTCTCAGTGTTTTTCACCTATATGCATGGTCGGATGATGATGTCAGCTTAGTGAAGTTTTGTGATTTCGGCGTTGAGGCTGACCATCCGGATAGCCGCAATGATTCGCAGTGGTTGTTGACATATTTGAAATCAATGATTATGCAAATAGTAATATGATTAATGGGTAATGCTGAGAATGATATTGGAATTATAAATTATATAATACATTACAATAGCTATACGAATAAGAATGACAATATGGGTATTAATACTATACTAATAAGAATGACAGTAGCGATATATATATATACTGTACTTAACACCACAGTATGGCGGTTGATTCTACGTCATCATCCACACTAGTATTATCAAACCATGGGGTTTAAATCAATCCCCTATTACTAATTCGCTACTACCAAATAGATTACTTGTAATTGTCCCATATGATCAATTCCAATTCCATCATCTAAATTCCCATCCAACCAATTCGTTCACAATTCCCTTGAAAAAAACATGTGTTACTACTTTTGTTACCTATATAATCTATACAATCTATATATCCATATAAGCTACATAATTATTCTATATAATCTTTTGTTACAGTAACAATCTATATAATCTATGTCAATCTATCACTAACCATGGCATCCGGCGACAGGTGATTTGGTTCGCCGTCATTGGCAACGTCATCGCCTTTAGCCCTTTGCCTCAGCGACTGCAGGGCAAGTCGTGGATGACCATGAGTCGTTGCGGGAAAGAAGCATGGTGACGACTGGGGATTCCCCATGACTTCCAGGGATGGAATGTACGAATATCATTGGAACATGTTGGAACATCTTTTTCAGGTAGATTTAGAGGCTGTGGGAGACCTACCTTTCTTGTAACTTTGATGGCAAAAATTAGACAAACCAGCAAAAACCGTGCAGAGTATCTCTGCCAAACACATTATATAACAACACATATCACCAGCTATATTTTCCTGCACGGTATCCATTAACTGGGCTACCAGTTGCTTGAGATTGGGATGACCTCCCTAGGTAACCACTTGAACTTGACCCAGATGCAGCTCGGGAACATCATGATACCAGCGTAGACTTTACCGTTTAAACATCTGACGTAAAAACAGCGGAAAAACACGCTTGCTGACGTTGTGTTTTTATGGGCGAACGCTTGTGTTAGTGGGTAAACCTAGTTGATGTTGGATGGTCGGGATACCCCCCCAAACACCCCATTCAGAAACGATGGGAAGTCAACGAGTCGTCAACGCGGGTTGACATCAAGGCGATGAAACCAAGCCATGAATGGGATGAAAAAAACGGGATGTTTTTTTTTAGTTTTATGGTATTTATGATATATTTATGATACATAATCTGGAAAATATGGATACATATAATAATTGGTATAATATCATAAACATACAATCTTGGGAGGCCCAGGTGCGGCTTCGCCCTGCGGCTTCGGTGCTTCAAACGAAGAAAATGCTGAGCTAAAGTGGTTGTCAAATAGTTTTCATGTTTTTCATGTTTTTTGATGTTTTTTTTGTGGTTCCTAAAATCTGAGTAGTACAAAGACCACCAAAACTTAGGTTTTCCCATTGACCACCACCTTGGCGGAAAGCCAGCATTTTCCATCAATCCAAGGTCTATACAGCTATTTGCAGATTCTGGAAAAGGTGGGCAAATGCAAAAGGTGGATTTTATTCAGAGATATTCAGAGCTGTGGGCTTGTGTGGGCTCACAGCCGCGCCGTTCAAATTGGTTGGGATTTCCAATTCGTATTCGCATTTCCATATACATTCTATTTGTGTACTTATATGTGTATATATAATTATATATATATACACAACATTTGTATATATAATTATATATATACTCAACATGTGTATACATACTTGTATACATACATTAAATATGGTTAGGTATGCACATGTTACAAGCACAGTTCCCATAGAGGCCATATGTCGGTGGTTGGAAGCTCCCTTACGCGGAGCGAAGCTTATCCCCATCGCTGCACCATAGCGGTCGTCTCTGTGCTGGAAACATCTGAAAACCATAGGAAACCCTTGGAACCTCAAAACATAGTTAAACTACCTGCATAAAAAATGGTGATATTATGGTGATGATGTTCACAAGTACGTATGGATGTTGCCCAGCAAGATTGGATGATTATCTGTTACGGGATGGCCCAAAAATTGAGGCCCTTGGTCAGAAATGCCGTAACAACCTCCCCCCTAGGCCTTAATCGATACAGTACGTCGCTTTCCTAAAAATCAAATCCTACCCAAAATTGTGAGAGAGTAGCTCGTTTTTCTATTTTTTTGGGGGGGCTTACTAAGTTACTATCTATAATTTAATAATCCCTTCAGGATGGTGCCCCCCACTTATAAGTTGGTTTATAAACCCCATTAACTATAGTTATATCTGCCATAAACCATAGTTATGGGAGTTATAAACCAACTTAGCTAACTATGGGGCACCACCTTGTTCCTAATAAACACAAAGACATGCTTCTCGGAGATGGGACGGGTGATCCATGCAGGAGAAAGCCAAGATCGCTGCGGCAGCTGATGAGAAGGTGCGTCCGGCCGTGGTTTTGAATGGTTTTGAGATGTTTTGATAAGGGGAATCCCGGAGGTTAGTGAAATATAGTGAACTATTATACAACATTACAATTTACCCAGCAGAATGATACCTGTTTTAGCATGTTGTTAATACTTTTTTGGGTGATGACCAGCACCACTGTGGCCTTGTTTCAGGGCAGCCCCTATGCAGATGGCTCTGAACATTTGGAACCGCCACATCCCCATCATGGCTAGCTGCAAAATCCCCGAACTAGCCATGGAGGTTTGTTTATAGCTGGGAAAATCAACTAGAAATGGTGGATGTTCCTCAATATAATGTTTGATCACTAGAGGGTAAATTTGCCAATTGTTTGGGGACCCATTTTAAGACGAAACCACATGTCTTTGCGGACGCCCTGGGAACAGCCCCATGCTTTTCTCTCAGGTTTTGTATCATGTGATTTACACTTAGATTTCATAATTTAAGATGTATATATTAATGTTAACCACCAAATTCATTTGTAAACCCTGGGGTTTATCAATCCTGGGTTGATGTAATTCCAAATTCATCGATTTAGTGATAAAACAACAGGTAAGAGATCCATTAATCCTAGGTTCATATTACAAGTTCATTGATGTATTAGCTGATACATCAATAAGAGATCCCGAGATCAATGTCATTGCAGTATCATCACCCATTAAAAATCACAAATTGTTCATATCAACCAGATGTATGAATCATGGTTCTCCATCATCAATCCTATTCTTCAGACTCATTATTTTCATTGTTACTCTACAATCACATCATTATAATCATTACCATCCATTAATTAGATCCATCATTATTATTATAATTCATGCATGCCCATTAAGACTCATTATAATCATAATTATTATCCATCATCATTGTTCATAACCCATCCATTATTATCCCCCATCTTTGTTATATCCATCATTATAATACATCATCATTGTTAATAACCCATCCATTATTATCCATCATCATTGTTAATAGCCCATCCATTATTATCCATCATCATTGTGAATAACCCATCCATTATTATCCATCATCATTGTTATATCCATCCATTATTATCCATCATCAATATACTGTATTTATTACCATCTGGTTATAACATAGCCATGGACAATCATCATTTTTAATAGGTAAACCTCTATAAATGGGCCATCTATACCATGGCTATGTTAAATAGCCAGAGGGTGATCGATTCCATCATCAATATATGAATAATGATATATTGGATAATACTGGACTGTATTATCCATTATATATTCAATTATCCATATATAATCTGGTTGGTGGTTTGGAACATTCTTCATTTTTCCATATATTGGGAACTTCATCATCCCAACTGACTGTCATATTTTTCAGAGGGGTGGCTCAACCACCAACCAGTAAAGTTACTGTATTATCCATATACCATTTATTATATATTATATTTATATACCATTATTTTACCATATATATATACATACACATATATATATATATATTCAATTATATTCAATTATATTCAATTATCCATATATAATATATTGTATATATTATTAACAAATTCCATTGTGAATTAATCCCATCATCCCATCGCATCTGACTGTGAGACCGGCTTTCTCTCCGAGCAAGAAGAGGTGAAGGGATGACTTCTTCGGTGATTTTGTTCGAAGAGAATGGGGACGACTGATCATCTATAAATGGGGAAAAATAGGGGATTTTCTATGGGAATTGATAGGGATTGATAAGGATTTATAGGGATTTATAGGGGATAATAGTATGAAAAATCACTAAATTTCAATCATTATTTATTATCATTACAATTGGACAATGATGATAGACCATTGATATATTATCCAAGATCCCATATACCCAATAATATAATGATTATTTTTGTATAAATGATAATGAACCATATCACCATGATATATTATAATTAGAATTGGACCAAACATTCCTGGGGTTATATGACAATGGAATATGATCATGGAATGAATTCCACATGTTTGCATAATTAATGATATCACAACTAGAAAAATACTAAAATAGTTAATGGGTCATATCAATCGTTTATAGTTAATTGGACTATTTTCTGGTAAATTAAAGTGACCTCACTGTGACCGAACCATGGAATCATGATTAGTAAGAGGAATCATCCCCAAATGGCCGCAAGTTTCAGGTTAGTCAATTATATTGATTTACCCAGATAAATGGGATAACATTGGATTATGATAATGGGATATGATACTGGAAGAGGATAATGAAATATGATCATGGAAGATGGTAATGGAATGTGAATGGGATACCCTCTGATAAATTAACATGACGACCCTGGCAGTCATCGGGGTTGGAAGATTAGTTTCAACTAAACAATGGTTATTTTCAGGGTCCAACTGTTAATTTACCAGAGGGTAATGGCTAGTACCCAGCTTGGTCTGGTGTTATCAGCTTGGAAAATCGGCTCCAAAAATCTCCATCGCCCATGATTTGCTCATGTAGCTGAGTCCATTTATACCCTCTGGTTATTTCACATAGCCATGGTATAGATGGCCCAATTATAGATGGTTTACCTAGCTATAAAATGGTGATTTTCCATGGCTATGTTAAATAACCAGATGGTATACGGGTTTTTGCAGCTAGCCATGTTTGATGACACCGGACGCTATATACTAGTTTGATCATGTTTGATCTAGTGTGTCTTCTATAGCCCCCGGACCAGCAAATCCAACGTTAATTTCAGTCAACATTTGCAAAAAGTTGGTAACAAAAACCAACAAAAACTGGATATTTCATATGTATATGATTATATATTATATATAGTTACATTATATATATAGTTACATTATATATATAATATATATCTATCTATCTATCTCACATATGGTACATATCCCAGATTCAAACGGATAGAATCTAAATTCCCCCCTTCAGAAGTGTGCCGTAGGCACCAGGATGATTTGGGCGGTTTCCGATCTGGGCATTGGATGGCCAATGACAATTGGATCTTGATAAAGGTATGTCATTGGATCAACAAATGTCATAATATTAGGTCAATACTCTTACAATGCTATGTTGATCATAATGTTATGGTATGTTGAATACCATTGATAATTATCAGAGAATATGTTTTGTTTCTGGAAGTAGTTTCCAATGTTGGATGTTAGGTTTCATCATACCGAATCATACTCCATAAACTCCATCATACTCTATCTGCACTGCGGGGCTGATATGGGCTGACAATTTATTATTGGATTCATTCGACCAGCCCAAAGAAACAACAACACAGAAAGAGGTGAATGTCTATTGCCATGTCATCCATGTTGTTTCATGGTTATGGATAACATTCGGATAACGTTCATAACCTACTTGGATCTCTTTGCTTCAGAATGTGCCAATTGCCTTTTTACAAAACCATCTGGCTTGCTGGGGGCGGCTGATGGAATCAACGGCTGTTTCCTTATCCAATTTTTTCGGTGAATCAATGCGATTCATTGAGATACTGAGATATATGAATAAATTGCAAAATTACACAACTACTCTACGTATACATATTTGTACTCGGGGCTTACACAAAAACGAATCTATAGATTCTCTTTTGATCTCCAAAATTGTGTTGAAGTTTTGATTCCCAAAATTCTATGCTTCGAGTTGAAACATGGGTTGACCCATTTCGTCTTGACCCAAATCGTCCATTGGTTGATGGTGACATCCTCCATTTATTGATAGTTAGTTAAATGAACTAGTGAAAAAAAAACGCCATGTGATTCATGTAAATTTTATTTTATCAATTATTGATATACTTCCTGGAACTAGACACTTAGTTAAGATAGATAAATCCAAGCTTTGGAAAAAAGGTCTATACGGTTTCGTTTGAAACCAGTGTATCAACTGACACAGGACTGGGAGGAATCCACCTCAGAGGACGGGTTTCGTTTCCGGCCGGAACGGAAGTCATGGAGGGTAGCCCGTTGCATCGGAAAATCATAGGTTTTTCTTTGTGAATTATCTGATGTCCTAAGTCATGGGGGTAGCTCGACATATCCGAAGTCATCCAAGGAAAATGGATGACCAATGATGACCATGATAACTAGTATTGAAATGCCAAAAGGTGACGACTGGAGATCCCCCATGACGTCACAGAAACTCCCCCATGACTGCGTAATGAAAAAGACGACACTCAGACATTCTGAAATGTTTGAGTTTTGTTGTGCCTAACATTTTTTTTTGGGGGTTTTGGATATGTCACAATTCATGACATTCATGACATTCATGACATTCATGAACGAAAAGTTATGACATTATTTAAATAAGGAAAATACATGACATTCAAAATTGTAACTCATCTATAATGACATCCATCTATAAATATGGTTTACCAGAGAGCCCTTTTTTTTTAATCATTTAAAACGAAAAGGATTTTCCTTGCGACGTCGCCTTGCGACGTCGCAGCTCCAGTTTTCTGAGCCAAACATTTATCAATGATGGCTATGAAAAATGGATATCCCATAGAAAATGGATATCCCGTAGAACATGGATATGTCACAATATTTATCATAGAAAAACGGCTCAACATGTTTATCATCCATAGAACATTGATATATCAATGATATCAAGGATATCCCCAGTTTTTTGAAAACGGCCCGGCGGCATGGGCGCGCCAGAGCGGTCCAAGTCCCGTGATTCGTTTTTTGAAGCCCCGAAACACGGCCTTTCGGACTTTTGGGAACCATGTGCTAAGTTCATCTATATAAATCATCATGTGCTATCATGGATAAATGTGCTATTATAAATTGGTATCCATCATGGTTATATCCATTAATTATCCATCATTATTTAACATAGCCATGGTATAGATTGCCCATAGAAATAGATGGTTTACCTAGCTATAAAATGCGTGGATTTTCCATGGCCATGTTAAATAACCAGATGGTATATAAATTGGTAAACCCAATAGCATACCGCTGCTAATTGAAGAGTTTGTTCTGGAACACCATTTTTCACAGATTTTCATCTATCGCAGGAGTCTGCCGGGATGTGTGGTACCTGATGGCTGCGCCAGTCTCAATTCAGTGGTGTTCTCCCGTAAAGAAGGAGAGAACTTTAAGAAAAAAACTTGGATTCAGTGCATTGTAAGATCTTCTTCTCCCATTTTTTTGAACAAAGTGCCAGATCTTCTTCTCCCATCTTTAAAAAAAGGTGTCAGATGTTGATGTATAAGTGGATAATCAACTGCTCAGTGATGAGCCCAGGAATTCACGTTTCCGAGTTTCCGAGGTGGTCTATCCAGACCCCATCCCCAACCGGGCGGGTTTAATTTTCTGAGTTCTTTATGAATTATGTAATATGTATATATATATATGATATCTGCTATTATTTATATAATTGCTGGACATGGTTTACCGATTTTTGTTGAGAATCATTTATTTGTGGGTTGAATTTTGAATATCATCAAATTATATCAAATTATCACCTGAAATGCTGCGGGAATACGCAATCAGCACGCATTGTGATGGAGGAAATATGTTTGGACCATTTTGGAACCAAAGTTTTTGAAGTCAAAGCCATGCAAACACCCTTTTTTTGTTTGTGAACTCCGAGAAATCCCAAGTTGGTCAATGTCAACCCTGGATTTTACCGATGGATAAAACCTCCAGGCTGGACGTCCAGATTTGGAATTGTGTGGGGCAGCAAAGATAGGACCCCTAAATAAGCACTACTGTATTGAACCTACAGGGAAACCAAGGTAGAGCCTTTGGGCTATGGAATGATATGGAATGATATGGAATGCATGTAATTTATAGATTCTGTCATATTCTTTCCATTCATTTCCTGAGGAAACCATGTTTTCTATATCCTCAACGGGTTCCTGGGGCCTAGGCGGCATAGTTTGCTTAACTTTCGATTCGGATGTGCCATGTGCTATTTTCATAGGAAATTCCTGAGAATTTAAACGTTCTAACCCATGGGTTTCAAATTGTTCGGTTTCCCGGTTTCCCCCTTTCTTTTCAGGCACCAAACCCAACTACCTAGACATATTTCTTTCATAATCTGGTGCAAGGTGTTTGAAGCCTCGGAAATGTCGGGTATGATTATCTACGACTGGGTGACAAAGTGCCCTGGAGCATGCGAGCGTGCTCCTCTTTGACGGACCTAGCTATATCTAATCTAGATATCCTAGGTGACCCGTTGCGCCAACGGCATGCCGCAGTTGCCCCCCTGTTTTGGTGGCGACAACTGACAACGGTTGTAGCAGGACGTTCATTCTATGCAGCATATTTGATGATATTTTGTGAAGAACCCCGGTTTGCCTGGATCTTTATGAGAAGACTCTCTTCTGGTAACATCCCCTGAATTGGAAGAGGATGTTTGTCTTATCCGTTTTCTTATGGCTATACCCTTATTTTTATTGGTGATGGTGAAGAATGTGTGTTTCATTGCTATGCTTGGCTCCTAATTCTGAATATATTCACTGCAGCAAAATTGGAAGGATGATCCGCAGCGACTTGTGATGACTGCTTTTTGAGGAGAGAAAACAAATTTTGTTTTTCCCATCAACTGGATCAGAATCGGAATTACTAACCATGTACAAAAAGCGCAATAATCATTGGTTAGCTTCCATTGGATCACCAAGATTGTCATATTAGTCATATTCCAGTTGAATCTGCTTTGTGGGTCACATCGATGGGAGAGCTGGCCCTTTTTTTTCTTGGCAAAGGTCTCATGTTCCCAGCCTATCGGCTGGCGTCAAAAACTGCGGGAGCCGTTGGAGCCGTATGGCGCCGTCCATCACTTAGACATTGCTTAAAGAGGTGAAGAAAAGGCGAGAAGAATCCGGGCACTGGAAATGACCTCACTTCGACCTCAGAAATGGTGATTAGATGTGATGAGTAATTATAGGAAATCATCTCCAAATGGCTTTATTTATATACCGTAAGCTTATTGAAGGTCACCAATTTATCCAAATACCCAATGTATATGGAATGTCCCCCCGGTGAACTACTTCCCGTGATGCGCATGCAAGTATTGGCGATGAGTCAATAGGAATAGAACGTCACCCCTGGCTGAAAATGGCGGGTTTCAAAACGTACTCGGCTACCAAAACGCATGACAACAAACGTTAGAAGAATGGTCGCATCCCAAAAAGATCAACAATGATCAACAGATTAGGGGTTTATTAGCCCAGGTTTGACATTGTATAGACATATATCTGGGTAAATTTGATCGCGACCTCAGTGCGACCGAACCCTGGAAATCATGGTTGATACGGGAAATCATCCCCAAATGGCCTTAATTCATCTTAGTGAAATATTGTAATTTACCCATATATATATAGGATGTTCAATGGGATATTCTGCGGATTTAACGAACATGATGTGGAAAATTGTGATTTGATCAACAGAAATGCAGGGGGTATTTTTGATCCAACCATGATTTTTGGGATTTTTGGGATGGGGTGCACAACCAACAAAAATTTTCCGGATTCATCTTAAAATACTAGCAGTATTGTCCCATGATGATAACAATAAATACCTAAATACACACTATAATATATGTTTATAAATCTATATACGGTATATATATATAACTATGTATATTACTGTATATGTATTACATGTCACATGTCTATACATCTATTTTATACATTGTCAAACCGGGATGAAATAGTGATTTTTCGTTTGAAACTAGAATGGCACCCCTTATGAAATAAACAGTGCAGGGTTTTGCTTCATCTGGGGTTGTTGTCTGTACATACCCTCGGTAAACTAACATAACTATGGAAAATCACCATTTTTAATGGGTAATTCCACTATAAATGGTCATTTTCAATAGCTACGTTAAATTACCGGAGGGTATATATATATATTTGTAGATTTTTGTATATATGTGTGCGTACAACATTCATCCATGATTTAGATATTTTATATACATGCGTATATACACCATGAAGTATGTATATAGCTAAAGTATGTATGAATGTCACCATTTTTGCGTCGAACATATTTTACCATATACAATATAGTTATTTAAGATTCGTTCCTTATGTACATATATATATATACATATATATATATACATATATATATATATACATTGACATATATATATATACATACATATATATATATTTATGCTTAGATACATTAATCATAAAGTATATATTGATATATATATATATTCACGCAATATCATATATATATATATATATATTATATATATATATATGTAGTATATGTAACTAGTATATGTATGGCTATTTCTTGTTTGGGACGTCAGAAAGTCCTGGGACCCAACTCCGCCAGGTGCCTGCGGTGCCTGCGGAGCCTGCGGTGCCTGCGGAGCCTGTTCCGCTGGTGGCCGCGTCGGTCATGGCTGGGACGACCCGAGGTGGTTCCGGTGTTTTTTTTTGGGTCGTTTAGCCCAGGGTACCCCATGTTACATGTTTTTGTTCATGGTTTTTTGATGATATAATATATAGATATATAGATATAGATATATGTATATATATAATCTTGTGAAATAAAAAGTGACTCTATATCTGATGGTATTTACGATCTATTGATTGTATTTTAATATTGTAATTGGACTTTCCTGGAAAAGCCCGGGTTAGCCAGCTTTGTCATGATTGATGGCACGTTGATGGCCATGAAATGGGGAAATAAACCCCAGTGACTGGACAGGCAAATCCCATACTGAAACCATATGATTTGCCTCATATTTTTGGGGGTCTTGCTGGCTCAAAAAAACAAGGCTAATGGTGGCTGGATTTCTTTCTAATAGTGATGTGGTGATATTTTTACCCGGCCTGGTTATGACATTCACAGTTCGCCATGGTTAAGCCATGGCCCTAATCGAAATAGATGGTTTACCTAGCTATAAAATGGGTGGATTTTCCATGGCGAACTGTTAGTCATAACCAGATGGTAAGTCTAAACTGATGTATAATTGTTGCATAGCATTTGCTTCTAAGAGTCAAGACTATCGGCTATCCAATGCACCTTTTTATATTGATACCTGGTGTATCTATTGTATCAACATGGTTTTATGCATCAATACGCTTGAGTCACAATTTGGAACCATACCCATTTTGCAACTGGGTCAGTGTTGGTGAACCGTTGTTGCATTGATAATCGTTTTTGTTGAGGGGTTGGAACGTTTGGCATACCACAACTGTTGTTCCCCAAAAAACGTGGAATTCGAAGGTCAACCATGATGGACTCTGCCTTCAGTTGCAGGTTGGAGGATTAGTTTCCAAAAAGGAATTGTTGTCAGCATCTATGTTGATTTTCTGGATGGTATGATGTTTGTGAACATGATTAATGTGGTTTTTTAACCATGTCATAAACATAAATCCTCCAGTCATCAGCATGATCATTTTGATAGCTGGTAACCATCATACCATGGGGTGGTAAGGCCATGGCATTGTATGGCATTGTTTTAGCCTCATTCCATGGGAATTTCTAGGGATGCTAGCACCATTCCGATAGCTTTCAGATTAGTGGCGCATCGATGGATCCATTTTGGGTACCGTAAAAAAGCTCGAATGGATGTGGGGTTCGCCTTGTTAAAATCCCTAATTGGTGATGGTTAAATCGAAAAAACACTGGCTTTTTCCATGTTTGATGGTGTTGGTCTTCAAAAAACACGAAAAACACATCTGGTTGGTGGTTTCAAAGATTTTTTTATTTTTCAGATGGGTAGGTATACCATGATATACCATCAACCAGACATGATTTGGTGCTGAAACCACCATCCTTCGGTCATCGCCGAGGCCAGCCCAGGAGCGGAGTGGGCCGTGGGAGCCACTGGGGAATTGGGAATTGGTCAACGGGCCCAGAAAATGCCGCAGTTATAATATGGATGGTATAGTACACATACAATATATTTAATATATGTGTATATACACATATATATATATATGCAATATATGTGTGTATATATATATGTATACACATATATATATATATACACACTTATATATATAGGAGGCCTATTTTTTTTTGATTTTTTTCTTTTACGTTTTTGGATTTTTTTTTGGGTTTCTTGTTTTATCTTGCTTTCTCCTTTTTTTTGCTTTTTTGCTTTTGTGCTTTTTTGCTTTTGTGCTTTTTTGTTTGTTTTTTTTGTTTTTTTTTGCTTGTT